TCCACCAAGAGTCTATAGGAACATCAATTAGATTAGATTCATAACAGACAAGAGCTAGACAATCACCTTCAGATTTATTATTATTCTTTAGCCAAGCCTTGAACTTTTCACAATCAAATTTCTTATGTCCTTTCTTTTTTACACCAAAAATACCAAATATTCTTCTTAAAGACTGTTGGTTTAAGTCCTCCTACATTGTGGCATTGACTCTTATTTAGTTTTTCTGAACCTCGATATTAATGAGAAGTATTAGAAGACTTATTTGCATTTTTCCAATTTTTCTTGCCAGAAGTGGGTTTACTATGGATAGATAAAAGGGCTATGTCACTCTTTTCTTTCTTAAGTTTCTCTACCTTAGCAACACACTTGGTAATGAGGTTGTTCACACTCTAATTTGCACCAATGATATTATGGGCAGTTTTGATTTGGGTAAAATCAGCAGGTAGGTAATTTAAGGCATGTTCGACAATAAATTTTTCATTAAAGTCAATTTGGTGAGATTTCAGCTTGGTTTGAATGTGAACCATCTTCATAATGAACTCCCTTACTCCTCCAACATTATCATATCTCATGTCTGTCAACTGTTTCATCAAACATCCAAACTCAGCATTATCAGATACCTGGTACCTCTCTCCCAAAGTAGTGAGAAATTCCTAAGTTGTACCTTTCTTTGGAAGACCACTCAAAAGGTGTCCAGAGACTGTTCTCTTGATAGCGATTAGGCTCAACCTGTCAGAGACTGTTCGCTTGAATGTGGGCTTACTCTCACGCAAGGCTAAGTCAAGATCAACAATTCCCAAAGAGAAGTCCAAATCTTGTTTTCACTTGCTATAGTTTGATTCAGTTAGGATCTCAATGGATGCAGAACAATTATTCATAGAAAAATTCACTGATGAGATAAAACATTAACGCATTAGATCACATCATAAGACAAGATATAGCTTAAGATAAAAAAAAAATAAGCTATCAAGGTGAGGCCCATAAAACAACATATTCTCCTTTGGGTAGAATACATTAACCAAAGTGATTACTAAAGTCAATACCTCAGGTGGGTTAATCCATGAACACACACCAAGCTAAAAAAATTGTCCCCTTTGAGCAAACAAATCTCTCAACTTAACGCATTTTCCAATAACTCCATCCAAATTCAATTTTCAACCTATACACACAACTACCCCCTTTGGACATGTAATCACATGTAAAGATTAAAAACATTCCTCAAATTACAAAAAAAAACTTTATGAACCAATAGAAATAGTCCCACTTTGGTGGTAACGATTTATAGCAATCCACAAAATTCTTTGTACAAGAATCAATATTCTCTTGTCCAAGTTATGAAACAGACGAATACATCAAAGTTGTTCTTATTTGTTGTTCTTTAATCATCAATTACATTCACAATATGTTTATACGTAAACAATAACAATTAAAAATTAATAATGAATTTATAACAGTAGAAATTTAAATAATAAGTAATCATAATCTCATTAATTCTAATGCAAGTATATATGAGATAGAATATCTTACCAAACATAAATGATAATAATACAATTGAAATAAACATTCGGAATAAGCATTTAAATTGAAATAGCATGTATTGAAAATAAAAACAGCAAGCAAACGTAATATTCATATTGAAACAGCAAACAAACATAACTTATTCATGTTAAAAGGCGTTGTTGCATTAAGTATTATGACGTCGAGCAATTGTTCAATACACTGGGAGCAATGTCGAGCAATTAAAATGAAAGTGTTGAAATATTGGCGCAGTGATTGAAATAAATATGCTAAAATATTATATATTAAAATATTAATATTTTAACATAAAAATAATGATGGCAGCGGAATATTATTCAATGTGAATTTTAAATCCATTCATTTCAACAAACAAATTAGGGGCGGCAACAATTCAATTTTAGATTTAAAATCAAAATTGGTTTAAATTTAGGAATGAAACATCATCCAAGCAAATAGATAGTAATTCAATAGATAAACAATTGAAACATATCTAAATTCTAAATCATGTAATTCAGGCTCTGATACCAAATGTAAACACAAATTTAATGGGATCTAATTACATGAATTTAGAATATCAATTGAAAAATAATTTGTAGAGTTGCTTACTTGTTGTAGACATCGTTGATTGTGCGTGAACTTACATGGAATGCGATCCCTTTGTAGCGAGAAGCTAATAACTTCCTTTGCCTAATCACGTTCTCCTAATCCTAAGTTCTCAATGGAGCAAACCTAGAGAACAATAAATGTATTATCGTGACGGTAAAGGGAACTTAGCCACTATATTTATTAACCCTAGACACTTCCCATCATAAACCTAGAGGTTAGACCCACACTGAATTTCACTCTAGATCAACATTAAGTGTTTAAGGCTCAAATAATTGATCACATTATTAGCGAGCTTAAATATCATCAAATGAATCACAATATTAGCCTGTTTTTGACAAAATAAAAATCACAATTAATTATAGCCCATAATAAATCTTATAAAAAATTCTAACAAGAGGTTGATAAGCATTCAATGTACGACTATGCCAGGTTGCACGATTGCAAGCGAAGGGGTAGAGGTTGAGTTTGGATGAACTCTTTGTTTGTTCTCCTATTTATTATTTTTTAAATAATATTTATCATTAATTTTTATTAAATTTATAGAGGAGATGGCGTTCGTTCGTTCACTGTTAATCTATTTTGAAGCAAACTGAAATTTCATAAATTTAAATTATTACATTATTAAATTGTGGTTTTGCTAATCTTATCTTATCCTTTTGTTTTCATACAATATTTGTGAAACTTATTCGTTAATAAACCTTTTTTTAAAATTCAATTTAATCCAATATGTTTTAAATTTTAAAACTGTTTTGTCTCTTAAATTTGTTTAGTTTAAATTTTATAATTTACATTCATTAAATTAAACAAATTTATAAACAGCAATGTAACAAAAGCATTGAATATTGTTAATTGCTGTTACTAATTACTAATTTTATGATGCTTTCGGTTTTTCCTTGATCTTCAAAGCTTACCCCTTTGTCGAATAGAAGTAGAACGTGTAGTTTATAGCTAGCTTTGCATGCAAGAAAGCAGTACGTTTAATGATGGTTTGCAAGCATTCATTTCTAAAAGTAACAAATACTTCATTCGTTTCACTTTTGTGATTTAGGACCATAATATTAATTGTACGAGATTTTCAAGTGTGCATTTGGATTCCTTCTAAATAATGTATTATTTTAAGGATTAATTAGATGAAATAATTTTATGTTTAGATTTATAAGATGAAAAATAGATTTAAAATTAATGCGTTGTTTCTTTGGATCGATCATTTAAAACTACATTCTTATAGGAAATTATAAAAAATGGATTAAATGTGTAAAGTGAAAAAAAAAACAAGAATATGTTAATTTACACTTAATTTAGAATGGATTAAATAATAAATATATTAGATAAATAAATTCAAACTAAGCCTTTTTCTTTTTCGCATTTTCCATTTAGAGAAACTAAAATTCGGTGTCTGTAAGAAGAAAATATTGCTTGCTTAAAAGAAAATGCTACTTGTACCTCAATATATAATTATTAATGATAAAAATAACTTGGTGAATGTAAAATTTAATATAAAATAAAACGCATGACTTTCACAGTTCAGAAAACTCAAAAAATAAAGATGAAAAAAATACAAACTACTATCCCAAATCTACATTATCATCCAAATTATTGTTTTATAAATTAAAGATAGTTTCATTCTTAGACTAGTTGATTTTGGGGATCAACTAAAACATTATTGACGATAATCAGAAGATTCTTTCTTTAGAGGAATATCCGACAGGGGCTCCCTTAGATTAATGTTGTCAATTTGAAAAGACAAACCTCCAACCTTCCCATTCGCTAGATTGTTTATTTAGAAAAATGAAACATCCAAGTTCGGATTCAGATATGTGACAAAACTAAAAAACAATTCAAATTGAGTTAATAATAAAGAATTTAAGTAATCTTAAACTTGAATTTCTATTATTCTTGCATGACTTAGGTGGTTCCATTTAGATTTGGGTAGAATTTACACAACATATAAATAAGATCATATTCAAATATTTGTAAAGATTATTTAAATGATAAAATATGATAACTTTTGAATTGTAGATATAAACATATTTTTAATAACTCTGTAAATCTTACACCTTACCGTCAAATTTAAACGTTTCTACTTATCAAAATCAATTCAATTTGTAGCAAAGTTTTAAATGAACAAAACTAAAACTAATTTTATTTTATTAAATCAATAATTTATAATTTAATTTTAAAGGACGATTTTAAGGAATTTATAAGCAGCTTATGATAATAACTTATGATTTTTATAAGTTTTTTTAATATATCTTAATAAATTTTGTCATTAAACCTGTGTATTAAAACTCTTAATTATAATGATATATGTGAATTGAATTCAAAATTTGTAAATATAGTATTAAAAATAGAAAGTAATTTAAATTATGCGTTTGTTTGATTAGATAAATTGTATTTTTGTTTAAACTAGTGTTCTTGTAAATGTAATTTAAATTTTAAACACTCATGTTAATTCTATTATATTCAAATTTATATTAAAGATTTATAAGTCACATGCTGATATCTAATTCAAATTAAGTTTTAAATTGAATAGATTGATTCACGAATTATATACTCTACTTTTTTAATTTTATCTTATTATTTGTGCGAAATAAAACATGAAAAAAAAGCTAAATATTAATTTTTTATAGGTGAAACTATTTAGGTAAAGCGTCTTTTATAAATAAATATCCGATTTAATTTAATTTAATTGATATTGATATTTTAAAATGAAATATTTGTATTTCAAAAATACTTATCACAAAAAAAAAAAATTATAATAATATTTTTTTGCATTTTTAATTACTTAAAATCAATCTAAAAAATTAACATTAACATGTTCTTATACATAGTTAAGAAAAAAAAAAAAGATAAAATCAAAATCGAACACATTTATAAACATCTTTTTTCGTAAATCTTTTAATCTTTTTTCCTCCTTTTTCTTTTCTTTACACAAAACTACGCAGAAAGCATAGAATCTTTAATACAGAAGATAGAATCCAAGATAAAATCTTGTGGAAGTAATTAATAATTTTCACAAACTAAAAAAAAGAAAAACTAAAACCCACCTTCCAACAACGAAAACGGATAAGGCGGCAACGAACTACTCTCCGCCGCCATTTCACTAAAAATGCTCCCACGCCCCTTACTATTCTCACACCCCAAATAGCTTCCACCCATTACAGTCGCCGCCGGAGACACCGCCGTCAACGGCGTCGGCACGGCGGCACAATCATACCCAAACCTCTGTTGCCCAATCCGAGCCCTATCCATCACACCCCCGTGCACTTGACCCCAATATCCCGCCGGCGCCTCCTGCGGCGGTGACGGCGAACAAAAATTATCAATTTCAAATCCCGTTTCCGGGGACGATATTATATTATTCCCTACGGTTAATTCCTCTTCCTCAAACTCCGTCTTGACTGAGTTTGTCCCCGCCATGTCGGAGGAAGAGGAGGAGGACGTCGCCGACGTTATGAGGCGGCGCTTTTTCTCACCGAGATGCTTCCTTTCTCTCTCTTTGAGAATCCGAGAGAGAACGTTAGGATCTTCCACTACTTTGCAAAGAAAAGCCATCATTTGTTGTGGTCGTTTCTCTGTTGTCTCTAACCTCTTATTCATCCCTCGAAGCTCTTCCTCCAACGCTTTTTGCTCCTCCTTCAACCTCGATATCTCCATAACCATGGTTTCTTCATCCAACTCCTCCACCTTCTGCGACCCACTCCTCCCTCCACCGTGCTTCCTCCTCACGATGTTCTTCAACAACTGCTTCTGCCCTCGGAGAAACCACTCGTTCGCGAATTCCCACCGATCCGGATCCACCTTTCTGAAACCCTAAAAAAACACACACAAAAAAAAAAAAAAAACTCAACAACCCTAATTCAATTCATTTATTTCTCCAAAAGAAAACAGTACCCAGTAAGAAAAATCAAAATCTGTGAAGTGGGGTTGGGTGAAAATTGAGAGATACAAATGAATACTGACATAAGTGTTGAGTTGGCGAACGAAGCTTGAGAAATTGTTGTGCTTGAAAAACGCAGGGAGAAGAGAGTGAGAGAAATCGAGAGGGTCGAGGACGATGAAGCTGTTGTTGGCTGGGCCCCACGTGATGAGTTTATCGGTAGTGGGATCGTTAACCATGTGGTAAGTTTTTATAACAAACGGAGCAATAACAACGTTGTTGTTGTTGTTGTTCTGATTGCTGCTGTGATAAAGCTCCATCCCATTAAGATACAAAGAAGAATTTGTGTGTGAAGCGTGAACGTGGATCTCTGAAATTTTGTGTTTGTGACAGTGAGTGAGTGAGCGAGCGAGCGAGCAAGAGAGAGAGAGAGAGAGAGAGAGGGTGAGGTTTTTCTTTGGATGAGGGAGCACCGAATATATAAAGGGGATGCATGTACAGTATCGGAGGGGGCTACGTTGCGCGCAATGAGAGGGGTTTCTGATATTTGCTCAAAGATCGTGGTGGGACCTACTGGGGCTTTGCTTTGGTACACGTCACGTTTTCGATGGAGATATTTTTGAAGGAGGACCACGTGCTTCGATGGCGCGTGGGGTTCCAATGCCCCAATGCTGTGGCGGTTGGCCGTGGTCCCCGCCATTGGTTCGTGACAAACGCTAGTAAACGACAACGTGTTTTTGGTCGAAAGTTGGAAGCGAAGGTGAGGCACAGTTCTTCTGTGCTGGCTTTGTCACTTAATACTATGCTCTCTTAAATTTAAATATTTTACGTAAAAAAATTAATAAGAAAGTTAATCACAGCACAATAGACGTCTAGATTAAACAAACTTGAAAAAATTAGAAACATTTACGAAAGTAACTGAGTGTTACTATCAGTTTCTGGATAAATAAACAATCTGTGTCAATTTGGCACACAAATATAAATTTTAAAAAAATATATATATATTATTTTTCTCTAATTAAGCTGGTTTGGAATTAAAGTTGGTGATAGACAAGAAGAACTATAGTGAGCAGGAAATTGATCCAAAAAATGGGACAAAATCCCGGCACCAAAACGTGAAACCACAAGCACGAAATACCAAACAATAATCGTCCAAGAGGAGCAGACTTAAAAGATAATACGATTTTTCTTATAATAAACTGTGAAAAGCATCTCTTTAATATTTGTGAAGTTAAAATTCTTTAAAATTGAGTTATTTTAAAATAAATGCATAATTATAAGTTGGCTAAAGCAAAGTTGACTCTGTTGGTTCCCTTATCTCTTGAATAAAATGTAATTAATGTAATGAATTTGAGCCGAAAAGCATACATAGAAGAATGAAGATGGACACGCGCAGAAGCAGAGGGTGAATTGCAAACAGTGGCTTGGATTCGTTGGCTTTACTTTAGATGTAAGAGAGGGTCGTGGGTGGGGCATGACTTCAACTCGGTGGCTCTCTCTCATTGGTCCATATTTATCAGCCTCCATTCTTTATATTGTTTCAAGTGCTGCTTCAGCACTGGGGAGCATATTTATACAATTTCATTATTCTTATATTATTTTAATTCATTAAATTATTTTTTCATTTAATTATACTTTTCATCTTCTACTTTCATTTTATTAAATTACTTTTTTCATTAATTAAATCTAGTTTTTATAATATATATATATATATATATAAGTTTTTCTTTATATCTATCTCTTACAACAACATTATTATTATTGTTGTACCCTTACATGACATTGTAGATAAACTTTAGCATATTATCTGTGTTTTATAATAAGCATAAATTAACTCAATTTTAGTGAAAATTAAAAATGCATCATGAAACAATTTAAAAAAAAGTGAAGGGTGAAATATTTTGATAGATAATGTTGACATGTATTCCAACCTTAAGAAGTTTTTCATATAACTGCATACGATAGATAAGTGATTAGCATCACAATGATGTGTATAGTTGCGCAGAAAGAAAAATAAATTTATGCATATAATTATCATATGATTTCTTGTCCTTAATCTGCATTCTGTTTTATTTTGAAGAAATGTTATTAACATATCATTTAATATATATATATATATATATATATATATATATATATATATATATATATATTTATTTGTAACGCTTTTCCCTCAATTCCAGATTCTATATACCCCACGTATCTATAATGTTAGAGAAATCACTGCTATTTTATTATTAAGAATGCAAATGATTGAGTTCTCTCAGGCAAAGTGAGATCCATTACTTGCCCAAAGAAGAAATGGCGTCGCTAATCTTAATATATTAATATACTTTCTCTACTTTACTTTCCAAATTTTGAGATTTTCATAATATTAAATGTTATATAAGCATTGGCTCCAAGAAAAAGATTTCTTGGCTGCATCACCACCGGCCATTCCTGCAAATAAAATAATCTATCTAATTTATACATATTAAAAAAAATATTTTTGGGTCTAGTTAGATAGGTGTACCTTATTATTGACAATTAATATAGGGTAGCTTTTTGAATTCAACTTTTAATATTGTGCATGATTTTACTTTCTATATTATATTTACATTTTCAAATTTTTAATATGTTTTTAAACACACTTTCTTTTTTCTTCTTTGATCCAATCGAAAATTATGATTTTATATCAATATTGGGTGAAGGCCTGAAGCTATTTATCAAAGTAAATAAACATGCCATTAATTAAAGTTAATGTGAAATTTGGATTGAGCTCAAACATGCTTCAAGTTAAGTATGTATTATCATCGACTGTTATGGTTGAATTGAATTATATATATATTGGAAGGATAAAATAAGAGCTCGTGCTTTACCATCTTTCTCTCGTATTCTCACTTTCATTTTAGAATCTGATAAAAGTATGAGAATTATTAATATGATATTATGAAATAAAGCTTATATTTTATATGATCACGTAAGAAGAAAAGCCTTGCTAAAAAAAGAACAACAAATGTGATTACCATTTCCAATTCAAGTCGATTTGATAATCTAGACTTCTGATATTTATTTTAATAGATTATTTTTCTATTGTATTTTATTTTAAGATTTTGTGAACCTTAATCATTATAGCTAAATTTACACATCTAAATACACAAAACTTTTGTAATATTTTCATTCAAAACTAATATATTGTTTAATAATTTTTATTAGATAATTTATTATAAATTAAAAATTTTATCTTATAAAGTTTTTATGTTTATCAACCATTGTATCAATTTAAAATTATTTATTACTTTATCCACACACATTAGAATGTATTTATATAATTATTCTATTTTAATAAAATTTAATACAAATAATTAAAGTAATATATAATTATAATTTAACAGTTAAATTAATAAAAAAATATTTTATATAAAATTTTTTAAAATATGAAAATAAGTGTAACTTACTCTGATAAAACATTAAATAAAAATATTCATTTTATATGAAAATATAAGAATAAAATTTATTCACTGATTTTTATCATAATAATTAAAATTAAAGCATAAAAAGCATATAACTTTTTAAATAATCATATAATTTTAAAATATTTTTATTAATCATATATAATTATATAATCTAAATTTATTATTTCTATTTTCATGTAATATCTATCTATTATCCGCAGCCAGAATGTGAATAGCTGAAAACACAATTGTAGTATCACTAAAAAGCCAAAACTTAACATCATCCATTAATGACTTTTTATCGGAAGTTGGACATGCATGCATTTGAATCTTTTAATTTCTTATTTTTATTTTCATGTGATATGTTATCTTTTTCAGTATTTTTGCTTCCCTTTACTTCAAGCTACTACTTAGTATATATTTACTTCCTGGGCCTACTTAGGTGTGACTTATATGTAACCCCTGTCTATTAATAAGTGGATCAATAAGAGCTTAATTTCCTTGTTTGATTTAATTCATGTCGTCTGAATGATTTATACCGAATCAGATGCAAAATATGAGAAATCTAAGGTTTCGATTATATTAATACCATTTTTTAAATTATTTCCCTGACCATAAATTTATAAACTTAATGAAAATTTTTATCAAAATTTATAATAAAAATGTATTAATAATATTAAATATTTTTTTTTATTGTTAAACTTTATCATCCTTAAGAAAATGGTTAGGAAAGCTTATATCATTTTTATTCCTTTAATTTACAATAAAAATCTAGTGGTAATGTACCAAATGTAATTACCTTTGTCACATCTAATCATTTTAGTGATTGAAATAAATCTTGCCCATAATCAGGTTTAGGTAAACTTACATATAAGTTGGGAAAAGAGTGACGACCCTTTCGTTGTCCTATCTCTCAAAAGAAAACAAGAGAACTATAGCAAAAAACAGTGAAGCAGATTCTAGTCCCTGATTAGTTGGTTAAGTGATCAGAAAAATTGATTTGTGTAGTGAAGCAGATTAAGTAACTGATTGGTTGGTTTAAGCAACTAATAACTCAGTGGAAACGTTTTCTTAAGAGTCTAAGTTCGATAAACAACTCTAGAACAAGATTTTCAACGCCTGAATCAGTGAGTCAGCCAATAAGATTGCTTTAAAATAACAAATTAACCAATAACATTACTTGAAATAATTAAAACTGAATAAAATATTTCCCTTTATAGCTCATAGGTAATAGTGTTTTTGACTTGTAGTGCCAACTATAGTATGAAAAATCTGGATCACCATGACGTAAATTGCCTGGTAGGTCTACTTCACCTCTTTAACTTTGTATAAGGGACAAGGGATTGTCGTGGACAACAATGTAAACAAATTTAAGGAGGTTTAGAGAGAGACGGAAAAAAAGTAGATGATAGGCACATTAATGTAACATCAAAAAGATTTTGAACCATTTACCAAATCCCAGTGTCTTATCGGTAGAAATACTAAACGATCATGACTCAATCAAGTTGTCTTAAGCCGACATTGTAAGATCCTTTTTCAGCTATAGTGTATTTAACTACAAAATCATTAAGAAGGGTCTAGAGTTCTAACAATATGTCTGTATCACATCAAGTAAGTTCTTTCGAGCTGCTTTGAATCACTTGCTAACGGGCAAGTTTCTCAGTTTTATCTTAGCTGCATTAATTTCAGTGACTATGAAGGTCTATGATGTCTAGATTCTTTTTTCTATCATTATTTAATGTAAAAACGATAATTGACTCTCATTTGGAGCTTATACACTCCTTCGAGTTAGAGGAAAAACAAAGAAAACAAAAAAATTGTAATAAGAGTGATATGATAAGAAGGGAAAAATAAATAAATAAATAAAAGAGTTAAGTAAGACAAAAGGAGTATATTATTTATCAAAGTCATTCTTTCCAACCTATATATGTAAATGGGTGGTGATGATATTTTGACACTCACTCACGATATAGTTTGGGGAGCGTGAGAGAGAGAAGTAAACAAAAAGAAAGAGAAAGTAAAGGAGAAGTGTGATAAGTGATTAGATATACAAAAGAAAAAATAAGAAAAAAAATAAAAAGCAAGAGTTAATGAAAATAAATATAAAAGGAATGAGTTAAAAAAATGTTACTGTTGTATATCAATGCTATAATTTAGACAAAGATTTGTACGTATGCATCGATCGATAACATATTCACACAACTGTAATGCGTATGTTGAAAGACATATAACATTGATCTAACATGCAAGATATAATTAGAAGAGTTAAAATAAATATAAACTTGTACTTTTTTTAATGGGAAATCAAACATGACACATTAACTAGTAACGTTGAATTTAATTTTCTTTTCTCATTACTTGGGTGGGGCGATAAGGTGTGAATGGGATACATGTGTGTATCTATCATTGCTTCATTAAAAGAAAACTTATGAGGACCAGTTGTTTTTCATGTTCTGCTTTTCATAAGACTCTGTGCATCATATGATTCAAAATAACTTTATCCAATGTCGAAGTGAAATCAAATCGCTTTTTCAATCTGAAAAATCAAACTGAATCTTGTTTGGCCAAAAAAATAGTATTGCTTCATTCTCTGTATTTGTGTGAGGGATGTTACCAATTTCCCAAGCAACATAAAGACATGAAAAAGTGTTGACAAATAACAAATTCACAAGTTCAACCTTGACTTGCTCCATTCTGTCTAGGTTTTCATGGTGTCTTTGGAAAACAAGACAAGACAACAAGAGAAAGCAGCGTGCGACGTGGAGGTTAAACAACCAATGAAATTACAAGTGGTGGCTGTCACTAATCACTATAGATTTTCATATCTCAACAGCTAAAGGATACCCTAGAACTTTTATGTGCTGGGTTTCGGATTTCAAGAGCAATTAATCATGTCCATCGAATTTAAATAAAAGGAAAATTGTAATTTTAATATTTAAAATTGTGTTTAAGAAACTAATTATATAAATTTTATTAAAAATATATTTATTGTAATGAATGTATTATTTTTAATAAAAATCTATCAAATTTAAATTTAACTTCAAAAGTTAAAATTAATGAAACTCTAAATGTAAAATCAAGTGTCCGATTAGCATTTCATGCTAAGAGAAGTTCTGATGGTGCAGAATGGAACTATGGATTGAATGGCTTTTTCAAGTTTTATCAGTTGTGTCACCAATTGCACTTTGAAGTCTACTCGAATGATGTCCACCATATCATCACCCACCCTCTATTCATTTTGCTTTAGCATTGGTTATGGTAGGTCAACCTGATCTTAGACCTGGATATATTTCGCTCAATTATGACGTAAATGGATACAATAAATAGTAACATTTAAAATCCAAATTTAAAAGTTAAGAACTTTTTGTCATCATACATCGAGTTAAACTAAATTCCACCTATTAGACTTAAAATATATTGTAAGGTTGATGAATTAATTTAAACTCATGTTTAATGTATAATCAAATTATATTTTTGTAAATTTATATATTAAAAAATATAAAAAGACCAAAAAATTAATTCAATCTAAGATGATATAAATTGGAATGCATTTATATTTTAAACTAAACTAACTGATCAGATGAATTGCACGAATACCTTATAAATTAAGAGGGTATTTTATACTTTTTTATATGTGGAACAATTATCACTATTGATTTTGTATTAAATATGTCTAAAGGATAGTAATATATGTAAAAAAGACATAAATGTCTTTAAATATGAAAAATCTGTTAATTTACTAAAAGTATATAATATTCTCTTAAATTTATGGTATTATAACAACTAACATGTATCAAAATCAATTATTTTTTTCTCTAAACCAACCAATGTAAAATGCCCCTGGGCTTAAGCCGTTTCTGCTCAATTCAAAATTCATGGGGTTCAAACATTACATGAAAATGAGAAGAAAAAGGCATATGCTTTTAGCTTTTGTTTGCGCCAATGGCACTGTTGGGCGATACATTCACAAGAATCAGGAAAGTTTTCACTTTTGAAGCCGAACAAACATTAAAGAGAACGGTTGAAGCTTTGACAAATAGCAAAAGAGACCCAGTAGGAGGGTTTAGAATCAGCATGTCATACCTATTGTCTGCTTAAACTATAGCAAGGTCCTCATCAAGATAAGGTAACAGACAAAGATAATATTCAGAATGGGAAGAAATACCAACCATACATTATTTCAATTTTTTTAAAATAAATTTCTCATTAAGTGAAATTATCCGCTGACCTTATTACTGAAAGAGAAATATTAATACTTGTAGATTTAATTTTAAAAAAGTTTATTATACTTTTGTTTCTTTAATGTAACATATATCTTGTTTTTTCAAAAAATTATTATACATAAATGCTTAAACTCAATATTAAAGGGTAAAGTTAGCACAAGTGTTATTAAAAAGTAGGCTGAATAATCGAATGACACCAAATAAAATTCACACACTTAAATTTTTCATATATAAAAAAATACACAGTAATAAAATGATTAAAGTTAATTATTTTTTTAAAATTAAAATATATCAATTTTATTTCTATTTAATATTATTAAACAATCCAAATACTAACATTTTAATATTAAAAAATTGCTCCTATCCTTGCTAGTAATATCCTTCAAATACTTCTAAACTAAAAAAAAATTATAATACTATAAATGTATTCTTACCAAAATTTTTGTATTTATTAAGTTTTTACCTACTACTCTTAACAAGAACCAAAAATAAATATTTCGTAAAAGTCATAAAATACCTTATCATAAAAATCATCCAATTCTTACAAACTGTGCCTTGTAAAAAATACAAGATAGAGTATATTAGCATGTTGCTAACTTTGAGCATAAAAATAAATTTCATTGGGCAGGAAATAAAAACTTTGGATCAGCGTGTCCCTTGCATACAACACGTGGCTCAAGACTCTCATGATCAAAGCTCGACCAGAATTTCGGGTGCCGCTTTATATTTAGGTATGAGAATAGTACCAAAAGAATGACACATCACACACATCACCAAGCTTTAGGTACAACAGACGAAAACATGTTGGACAGCGAGCACCCCCCATTGGACCTGTGCAGCTATCATGATAAAATGTGTTATAATTATTGACACATTGACAACGTCAAACGACCTGTGTTTATGTCGTGATTTGAAAGGCACAGGCAAGAAAATGGTGATGAAGCAGAGGACAAGTGTATAGAACGACAATAAGGAATTCAATTGGAATTTTGCAAGGTACGTAGGAAATTATCAGTATTACAGGGGGGCCCAACCAGTTGATGTTATCTGCATGTGCCAGGAAATATTTTTGAAGCCACCAAGAAAGGTACAACTCGCAGATTGTGACTATAGGGGATTTCTATCATGCACTTCTGAACATCTACTGAAGCACATAGACAATGATTAGGGCATTTTGATGGGATTCCAGTGACCATTCTTCATATCCAGCGATTAATCCTTCTCATCACCCGCAACTACTTCTCATAAACGGGAGGAAAAGAAATGGGAACACTCTTAATCAATGATACAAGACAATAGGACACGACAACCATGCCATAATCAAAGGATGCGGTACAACAAATGAAAAATTACAGATAAAGATTTCCGGTTGCAAAATACAAGCAACCCCCAACAGGGTAATTTGACTATTGTACTCAACACAGGCAACTCACAGTATGCCAAATAAACATGTGACATACATCTGTATATCAAGTCACAATAGTAACTCGTTTGAATATGTCTGCACTCCAACAACCACCATAATCTTGTCAACATTCTTTACAACTGAGAAACAATCCACGGCAATGAAATCTTTCTTAGAAGCAATATCTGTAGAGCACGAACATTGCCTCACTCACAACACAGCAATCATTTCATTTTCGCATTAGCACTTTCAATTACCAGAAGATACAAAGACATTATACTCATTTAAACGTTTTTGAAATTGAGCCAACTGCGTCTGCAATTGAAAGATCCCTGCAGCCTTTTGTGATAAAATGGTATTCAATTTGGCAATATAATCATCTAACTGATTTCCTGGTTGGTCAGCTTCAACAAGTAAATTCATCTCCTGCATAAGAAATTCACAACATTAAAGAACATACCATGTTAAGCAAATTATCAAAGAAAGGTACAAGAGATTTATGCTGACCTCCCTAACAATATCTATTGTTTCCTCAACTTGTCTCCGGTGAGCAGTTACAAGATCTTCCTCTTCCTAATTACCAAGCAAAGCAGGTGTCCTTCAGTACTTTAATAGTCACAACTCACAAGCATTTTTATCATCATGGCATAAGTAGAATATACCTTCAAGAGGGCATTTAAATCATCATCAGGGTCAGAATGATTAGCCTCAAAAAGCGATACATCCACATGTTTAACATGAGGTTCTACCTTCCTCTCGTCCTCCAAGGCATATAATTGGTTGTTATCCACTCTCTTACTTATTTTTCTTGTTCTGTGCTGTTCATATGTTGGTCCTAGATAATCAAATTCATTTGCAGCTCTGTCATTTTGACTACCTCTTTGAACCTTTGGAGGATTAGAATACGCAGATGGTGCCACATTTCCCCCCATCCTACCACTTGGAACCCTATCCACATTATTTGGAGGGGAGGGCTCTCTTTCAAGCTGTTTGGGCCAACCAAATCGATTTCTCTCGCTGGAAACAAATGCTATTTCATCTTCAAAGGCATCATCATGAGATAAAACTGAAGATCCAGGCAATACAGTTGAGTCTCTAAGGTTTGAAGAAGAAAGGGGATCCCTTCTGGAGCTGTTCCCTTTTGACAGGCTCTTTACTCTGAAATGTGGTTGTCAATTAGAATATTTATTATATGAGATCAATCATTTCCTTACCAGAAAATTTCAAACTACATACCTGTCGGCATATCTTAATGTGTTAAGTGTGTGCTCACAAGAACCTGAGCTTGGTGAAATACATGATACCATTACAGTGCGTGAATCACCAACAAAAGAGTCTCGCAGAACTTCAGTCAATTTACTTCCTCTGAAAGGGATATGCCCTTGGTCATTGTCTAGAGCTCTAATGCATTCTTTCAGAGCAAGTAAGCTTTTATTAATTTCAGCTCCCTCAATCCTGAAATAAAAAATAAAATTAAGTTAATTAGACCAAATAGGCAATCAAACACACCTGGATTTGGTAAGTGATTCAGTTACTCAAATGAAACACCAGCTAACAAAATATGATTAGAAAAGATAATGATTCAAGAATTATTAAATTTGAAAAAATCAAACTCCACCTAGTCTGCTTATCATTATCAGTAGTATCTGCACCACGTTCACTTCCAGCAAGATCTATAAAAGAGAGTTTGCCCACTATTCGAGCAGGCTTTGATTCAGTCCCATCAGCTGATCTTTTGATACAGAGCTGAAGTATAGCATGTGATCGAGAGGATTCCTCATTTGCACCAGTTGTCCCAGTACTTCTTGTGCTATTTCCTTTCTCAATAAAATCCTTGATTGTCTCAACTTTAGACACTCTATATTCTTGCAAGCCAACAATGCAAACCTGCTGTTTCCCATCCTCCCTCATGCAAAGTTTTCTGCCAAATCATAAACCAATTATGCATATAACCCTAAAATGATGCTTTTTCCAGCTCACAAGTTGATATGACTTACTTTCGATCATTGAGGAGATCAAAAAGTTTCCCCCCGTATATTTCAAAGAAACTAACAAATAATTGGAAACCTTGATTTCTGTATGTGTGCTGCATTAATCGTAAGATATCGTGGGATGCTTTGAGAGGCAATGGTTGCATAGTATATGTTTTCCCACTCCCTAGACAATAAAGCAATTTCATATCAACAAAAAGAATTCAGAGATAAGAGAAAATCAAGGTTAATAGAATATGAGGTGCAGAAGGAAATATGAGTGCTAAACTTAAGCCATAGATAGAGAGAGCTTATAGAGTTCAGAGAAGAAATTTGAAAATAAAAATACTGAACAGAAGAAAAATGCAGGCACACTCAATTATTGATCCAGTTAATTTTATAAGTGGTATATGTAATATAAAATTCAATCCACTATGCAGCCAAAACAATATTTACATCACATGCATAAGTAGAAACAAAATATTACCAGTTTGACCATATGCAAAGCAAGTTGCTTTTGTTCGTTGGAAAATCAGTGGAACAATTGGCTCCACAGTCTCAGCATACACCTAGAGAAAAAGAAAATGTAATTAATCTAGTGAAACCATTGAATAAGTAGTCAACATGGTGAGAAGAGCCACAGCTAGTTAAATACTCACTTCATCATTTGAAACGTCTTCATTCAGTACAGCATCAAAAACAAACTCATGTTTCTCAACATATTCTGTTAAATCAACCTACAACACAGGTGAAGTGAAGATATAAATCAGAAAAAAAAAGGTACTATATCCAAACGAGTTTAGTGGAATTTTCAACTGTAAAATGTATCGACATTAATTAGAAAATTGTTGACCTTAGTTAGTGATGGTCTTTGACAGTAATTGTAAGGTCTATTCCAATTTGAATATTTTAGACACAGATCACAGAATTAGAAAGAGAAATTTTGAAATTATTGAAAACAAGTAAGGTTGTTCATGTTTAAGTCAATTTATTATGATTTTTTTAACATTTATTTTTCCCTTACCTTTAACTTTTAAGAACTAGCTAATTATTTTGGAATTGGATGCAATAAATAAATGAGCAAAATCTTCATTTATATTTGCCATGATCACCAGCAATATCTGGTGAAAAATTTCACATGATATTCCTGGAGAGTTGCAAAGAAGCATGTAGATTCTATGAGTAAAGTTCAACTTGGTAGTCCGTGGCCCATGTCTCTTAAATAGCTTAAATAAGGAATGACCTGTTTCTAATGTAGGACATTATATTTCAAGAGTTCCATCTGCTAAAAACTTTGGCTTTGGGCATATTTGTAAATACTCTTGGTCATATCATTTAATATCAAAGATAGCGTGGGTTTGAATCCCAAGTTCAACATATTCCAATTATCTTAAGAATCATGGGGGAATCTTCTCTAAGAGGGAGGGATGATATGCCCAAAGGGTTGTGAGAGTTCGTGTTGGGTTTGTGAATCAAATTCAACTGGGTCACCCATACCCAATAGCTTAATAGGCATTGGATGCAGAGTATTATGTGTCAAGAGTTGTGTCTATTAACAGTAGGTTTTTGGCATGATGGTAAGTACGCTTGGTTATATTGTTTATGTTCAGCAAATTCTGTTAGGCATAATATCTTTAAAATACAATTTATGTTGTAAAAAATCTTTCGCAGATGTACAACGCATAAGATGTTACATATGTGGAAGTTTGAAGTTAAGTATTAGAAACAAAAGCTGCATGGTTTTTTGTCATCACGTTGTTGACTCCAGAATGGCTTGTGAAAACTGAAATGTACTTTGTATGTCAAAAAATTGCATGCTAGCTGCTGCATAAGCAGCATGGAATAGTTTTTATTGAACTTCATAATATATATTTGAGAACAAATTCAATCATGATCTTACATCATGAAAATGTAGATTTTCAAGGCAGCCCATTACTTACTCACCTTGAGTTTTCTTTCGTGCGCTGTAAGATAATTTGAATCTATGGTAATAATGTCTTCCTCTTTCTTTGCTATTTCCTTCTTATTTAGTGGTCTCTTCCGAACCTGCAGCAGATAGCAGAACAATCAGCCAAAATGCAATTATTAAACAAAATAAAGGCACTTAATTATAAAGGAAAAGAAACTCATGCAGCATAAAAAGGAAAAACAAGGCAAGAAGCATACCACGACTTTGATCTTGGCAACATTGTTTGCTCTCTCTTTATCAGTTGTGACACTTCTAAGAAGATGACTCTCAGGCAAGCCCCGAGACCTTTGTGCGAATTTGTTGCCGGTGAGAATCGAGTCAGACTCATCAAAACTTTGTCCTCGACTCGATAAATATTCATTTTGAACATCATACATCTATTGAGAGCAAAATTAAAATTCCCAGTCACTTGTATGTTCACGCTGAACACCAAAAATCTAGTTAACTACCAATTATCAAGCTCAATTCACTTAAGTAATTAGGAAACAAATAAACACTAACGCCATGCTTATCCAAAACACTCGGCTACTTTAAACCAAACGAAATTTAAACATTTTAGGTATTCTGCTTAGCCTTCACAGTATTTTTCACTATTCAACTAAAAGCTTACACATAATAAGATAATCTAAACACACACCAAACCTCGGGTAAAAGCTCGGTATCGAAGGAATGCAAGTCAAGCAAGCCACTGCTCAACACACGATCGTCGTCGTTTCTCCTCAAGCTCGAAGATCGAGTTCCAAACTCCTGCATAAAACGATTCGTTCCGAACACAAATCGAAATTTAGCTCGTTTTGTATCCAACTTCCACATAAATAAAAAACGATCGAAGAAACGAAAACCTCACATGTGCGAAAGCAGAGGAATGAAACCATCTTCCGTGAGAGGTTGAGTCGAGGATGAAGTTATCGGAGCTCTGACGGTGGTGGTGCACGGCCGAATTTGATCGCGGCATCGATTTTCCAATCACACTCATCCACTTCGAAATTCGCAATGGATTTTTGGTTCCAACACGAGTATGCACACGCACGAGACGAAATGGAGTCAGAAACTGAAGAATCTAAACAGAGCTGAACGCTTATTATCTCTTCTCACTCGTTCTTCTCTTTCAAAAATTTTCTCGGGAAACAAACAAACGGTGCTGGGAGAAGGAGAGAAAGTGAAAGAAAAGAAGAGTTTGAAACTCGAAAAGGAAAAGCGCTCTTTCAACGAGGGGTGAAACAGGGAAGAAGCGCGTGTGCCACACTGCAATTGGAGGAGCGCGTGCCCGGGGTTCAGGTAAGTTTTTCGAAAAAAAGAAGTGAATCAGGGTTCCGCGGCTTTGCGTTTCTCGGATTTACCCTACCTAATAATTTGAATATATGGTCACGCGATGTGCTGCGGATGATGTATACGCGTTGGTCTTTTCACCTTTATACCATAAATATTTTATCCTGTTTCGAAAGTGAATTTTTTCCCATAAGAATTGACTTTTATAGAAAAATAAAGATAAGCATTTTATTTTAAAATTAATAATTATAAATATTATATAAGTAAATTGGAATTAATACACGTAAATGAAATTATAAATATTATATTTATAATAATTATCATTTTACTGTTTATTTTAAAATATTAAATTGAAAATAAAAAATAACATTCCCTCTCCTAAATTCTTAGATATATTAAAAAGTGTTTAGATACATAATTCATTTAAATTTTTATTTCATATTTTTCAAAATTACAGCATATTCTATAAAATAAATTAAAAATAATTATAAAAATGATAAATTGTTTTTTATAAATTATTAATAAACTCTTATAAATATATCTATTGGCTGATGGATTGATTAATCGTCAAAGCCTCAAAGGCGCTGGGCGGTTATGGCCTTCACGTCGTTGCGACAGCTTGGCCTTCAGCGGTTTATTAGATAAAAATAAGAATGATTATACATGGTTTTTTAAATATATATATACTAAAATATGGTGCTTTTTGAAAAATTGTAAAAATATAAAGTTCAAATTTTGCTCCTCACAATTTTTAAAAAAATATATTAAAAATTAAGAAAATCAAAACTCATCACCATCGATTTTTAAAATAATTTAAAATTTTTAAAAATTATTATTCGCGACTTTTGGTTTAACCTATATCTCATATTTAGGTTAATTTTTTAAAAAATTACCAAAATGATTTAGCATAATTAATAATTTATAGCTTTTTTATATAAAATTAAGAAATTATGAGTTAATTTGTTATCAATTTTTAAGTGACATGACACGTCATTTAGTTGTATAATATTTTATTATTTACAAAAAGGTTCTCTTTTCTTTCTCATTTAATATATTATATGATTAATAAATTTAAATTAGTTTATATTACTTAGGTACTAGTTTTCATTTAACTTAATAATACAAACAAAAAGTGTAGTTTAATAATAATAATGATAGAATAAAATAAAAACAGTTAGATTCACATGAAATAATATCACCATAATTTATTATTATTATTATTATTATTATTATTATTATTTAACAATTTTCACTTTATATGACATGTTTATTTATGTTTTATGTATTATTTTAATTTTAATTTTAACATTTTCTATTGTTAAATGAATAAAATAACTTTTCATGCACTAATGAGTGGTGTCAATGCGTAGTTTCCTTGTCTTTAAATGCTATCATACCAGAGATTTATGTGTATTTACATTTCCATGCAATGTGAAATTCTTTTTATATTTGTTTAGTACATAAAATATAATTAATTAAAAATTAAAATATACATTCATACAATTAATTAAGAATTAAAATTAACTTATTAATGAATTTAGCTAAAATAGAATCTCATGCAGCAATTTACAGTACTATTGTATATTTTTTCTACCTTTAAACACTATAATAATAAAGGAGTCTTATGTACACCTATAATCTTGGGTTTCATACCATGTGAATTTTCTTTCTTAAAAAAAAAATACAAGTAAATAAAACACAATTATTAAAACACATATGCATTTATGCCATTAATTAAGAATAAAAATTAAAATAAGTTAAACAAAAAAATATAATTCTTATATAATTTATAATGTTAACATGTAATTTTTTTATTTTTATATATTATGATATATATATATATATATAAATATATATATAAAAAATTAACCTATTAATTAAAATATATATATAATTTTTATATAACAATTTATAATGCTAATATATAAATTTTCTACTTTTATATTATATTATTACGAAGATCATGTGTACTTATGTTAATCTAGACATTACTTATTATAAATTTGTTATGACATAATTTTTCATCCTAAATTTATTCTCAAAATTCTATAATTTTTTAAAAATATATTTTTTTTATTATAATATCAATTAATAGTTTTAATAAATAACTATTTTTAAAATTAATATAAATTTACACAATTAATTTAAGATAACTATCATTTAAATTTTTAATTTTAAAAATCATCTTAAATTTCAGTGGTGACTCTTCACTCACGGTCTCTCATATAAGTTGTTATATTCTATTTTAAAGTTGTTTTTCTTTTTCTTGTAATAAGAAATGAAAATAGGGATGATGCTTATGTGTGTAGTGATCTATTTTTCTATTCTTTGTTAATAAAATTTTTTATTTTTAAGAGAAAGGTTTAAATGAATATCAATTAGATAAAATAAAATTTATATATTTGACTAATGTTATTTGAATAATAAATTTGTATATTTTTAATGAATTAGAAAGAATCTGTTAATTTCATGTTAAAAATAATTATAATGAGTATCAAATTTTTATAATCTAATTAAAAAAAACAAAGTTGTTGGTTCATAAAATATGATAAAAAATTTATAATCATTCCATGTTTGGAACACTGCTAATTAACAATCGTTCCTTACATACACTTTATTTTCTAAGAAACGAATGAAGTACCGTGAGATCAATGCTAGCAAAAAATAAATTGAAAAAAAAAAACACGATATATTATGTTGGAAGTAACAATCAACCTTGTCTATCTACCAAAGACTTGGTGTGAACCAAGAACATGTACCCGAGACTACTTTTAAAAAAGGATGGAGAGGTAAATTCCTAATTCTCTTATCCGTTAAAGAGAAGACTCCAAGACCCCGCTTCACGTAAGGATCAAGCCTGTTATTGTTTGTCAGACAGAAAAAGACACAATTGCCACAATTGCCTCCAGTGAAATTCTCTGGACAATCAAGGACCGTAGTAGACATAACTCGAATACCTTTGCAATCCAATACTAAGAAACGACCATCCAAATTATCTATCTCCATCCATCTACACTCACTAATGTCCAACTTAAAGACACGAAACCCTTTAGTCGAACCAAAGGACTTTCGTTCCCCGTTGAAAACTTTGTCGTGAAGATGAAGAACTAACAACACCTCTTCTTCACGTGTAGGGTCTGTTACCATCATGCTAAAACAGTCAGTAATAAAACGAAGCACATCCCTCACCCTGAACCCTTCATGTGAAACCATTGGATCTGGTTTTGGATCTAACAAAACTAACCTTTCACAAGTAATAGCAGTAGCATCTCTAAGATAAAAAACAATCACAAAATCAAATACACCCTCAACAATACCATATATTTTGCAACCACCAATAATCACAAAATCATGAATAATTATCGATCGAGACTCAAGTGTATTAATGCTAGTCCACGACTTGTCATTTAATTTGCAAAATTCTAATCGCTGCTTCAATTCACTTCCAATACAAGCCACAAATGAAATTACTGTAACAAACTTTGGAGAACTTGGTGTGGAATAGAACTTTGTTTCTGTTCTAACGCTGCTGTCAATCTTCATACGTGGAAACAACGGTGGAAGGTTATGTTTTTCACCGGACACCGGATTAAAGAACGTATGTAAACAACAACTTCGACTGCCACTTGAATTATGTATAGATTTTCGAAACACCAACCATCCTTCCACTGACCCAACATCGTCGAAGCTTCCCTCCCCAGAGTCAGTAGAGATGGTGTAAAGGGTGTCTTGAGAGAGCTCCAGAAGTGTTGAAAGTTCAGCAATGGTGCGATCAGGAGAAGGGAGCACTAACAAAAATGGAAATTGAGGTGCAGGAGGGCATCTTCCCTTGATTGCAAGAGCATCAACAACAACATTTCGCCAATATCTACATACTTGTCCGCAATTGAGGTAATCTTTAAGGACTAACTTCTGTAAAATAAGTTCCAGAACTTCCTGTTGAAGTTCTAACCAAATATTCTTTCCTTTTTTCTCTGCCATCGCGATCTTATTGTGCTGAGATCAATATTAACTAGTAGTGTGTACACATTATTTGCTGATTAAAAAGAATGAATTTTCAAATTATATTGTCAATTGAAGCGCCGCTTTTACTGGGGACTGTTATTATATTGTTGTGATATTGAGCAAAATTCGGAATGGTATTTTTTACGAGCCTTATTTCAGTTCCATACTTAGCGGAGGGTTCAGTTGATACATAGGACTATAACATGAATATTTATCTCAATACATATGTTAGTATTGTTGTGCTCGGCAAATTAGAAGTTTTTCTTGTTCTGTGATAAATAGTGGTGCTGATGCTTTACTTGTCTGTTCTTGATTAATATTTCTTGTTTTTAAAAGAAAGATTTAGATGGATATCAATTAGATAAAATGATATTTATATATTTGACAAATATTTTTTGAATAATAAATTTATACATTTTTTTCAATAGATTAGAAAAATAAGTAAAGAGAACTAATCGAACAATAATAAGTAGTTTAATATCATTTAAATAATTTTAAATTTGATTTATTTTTTTGTATATATAAAAAATCTCTAATAATAAACTTAAAAAAATATGTATAAAAAACAACAAGATGATAAAATATATAATATGACAGAAAGATATAGAAAATTTGTTAATTTCATGTTAAAAATAAAATATAAGTATCAAACTTTTAAATAGATGATTATTATTTATTTTTATTTTTATCAAAAAAAATTATAATAACTCTCAAAATCTTAATTTTTTATGAAAAATATAATATTTAATCTTAAAAATAAATTATAATCACAAGTTTATAATATTTAATTCAGTTATTTTATATTAAAAATGACAATACTTTTATATTTAGTATGAAACTATATAAAATTCGTGTTAAGTTTTTATGTATATTTTTAATTAAAATAATTTATAATAAAATAATTATATTAATTTTAATAAAAACAGTGATTTTATTATTTAAGTATAATATAATATAATAATATTATTTTGTATTTATCTCAAATGTTAGTTACACTATTTTAATATATATCAAATATATAACAAAATTAAAATTTATTTTATTTTATTTTATTTTATTTTATTTTTTATATATATAATAGTCGATTCTTATATCTTATCAGTTTGTATTTTATTGTATTTATCAGGAAATTCTAAAATATATTCCTAAAATTATAGTTTTATCACTTAAGAATTCGTGAATTGAATTTTAAAAGATAATTGTTTCTTTATATGTTATCTGTTCTAAAATTCAATACTTCTTTTTTCTTTATAGCCTTAGTTTTTTTTTACCACATTGTTAAGTTATTTACTATTCATTAAATCATAAAAATAGTAAAATTAACAAGTGAGGGTAATATTTTTAATATGTGATTTTTTATTAAAATTATTTGATAATTTTTATTATAAAAATATAGAATAAATAATTTTGATAATAAAAATTAGTCATATAAAAGTTAAATCTTACAAATATTAAGTATTGAGATCCCAAAATATCATATACACCAAAAGGAAACCAGTGAATATTCTAATTTTATATAAGAAATAATATCTTATATAATCAATGCTATAAATACTATAATTACAAACAAAAAAAAAGGAAATTTTGGTCAATATTTCTGTGCTAAATAAGTACAGTGGTTGCAACGCACAAATATGGAAAAGGTAACGCAGGTCATACATGCTTGATCGAAGCATATATAAATAACAAAATATTTTTTCTGATTTCTAAATCCAAAATTAGTACGATTATTGATAGAAAAAATAAATAATATACTCTTTTTTTTTTTTTAGCAACAAAATGCAAATAATATAGTTGTCAGTTGTCACAAAGAAGATGCCAACAAACTCTTATTTTCAATTTCCAACTTAAGAAAATCAAAGTTTATTTCCATTTGACTTTTTTTTGTAACATTTCCTATTTCATATTCCTAAATAATCTTTTTGTGCACTCTATATGTTATTTTCATCTTCTTTTTTAAGATTTGATACTATTTGTTGTTTAACTTCTTTGTTATTGAAAGACTTTTGACCACTCGAAGTCACCTTTGTATGAGGAATATTCAGAAAATTTCGACGCGTTATATCAAAATTAAAATTAAACTAAATTTTTATTTCAATTAAAATCTATGTTAATGCGTTTGAAGAATGTAAAACCTTTTGTTATTCTTTGTTAGATTCTGTGTGTTACATTCTTAAGATAAAATATTACAACTTTTTTAATATATATTAATTATATATATTTTTTAAAAGTATAATTATAATAAATTTAAAAAATATAATTTTTCCAAGTATGCATAAGAATGATTATTAATTACAGTAAATAAATTTATTCCTTTATATTTGTATGTACGAAAAATTTAAACAAGAATAAAATATTTAAACAATGCAATTTTTTGTGTAAATTGAAAAAAAAATATCAAAGTCCTTCTGAAGCTTAGTAACAACATCTATTTTATAAATATTTACAGAGTTTTTACTTATTTTACCTTTTTCATGAGAATGATTCAAATTATAATATTTAATATTCGAAATATATTAGATCTTATAATTTTAAATAAATATTTATTATGTATGTTATTATCTATATTAAAAAATAAAAATTTTCAATTAAATAATTAAACAATTATTAAAAAATATAATTACATATCTATTATAATTTCCGATATATTTTTTTAATTCTCGCGCAATGTCTGTGTTCATGTTAAAACAGCGGTCAGAACCTACCGCATCCATATCGAAGACAAGTCCGCCAAACCCCTAATGCGTTTGGTCCGAACCAATAACCTTCCTGAACCGTTAATGCTGTCCAGTTCACCACAACACGAATATTCTCATCCTCACCGTTCTTCATGCTTCCTACACCTTAAAAGTAAACAAATCGAACGGTCAAAATCACTCTGACTCATCCCAGCTCATTTTCCACGGTAAAGTTAACATCATCCATCCACAAAAGGCAAATGCCAAAGGTCATTATCGTAATTAAATAGCCTTAAAAAACAGCTCTTTTTCCTCTTTTTTTCTTCTTCTTTCTCACTTCTTTCTTCCTCTTCGTTTTCCACTGCATAGAGCTCTGTGCTATTGCTCTGTGCGGTGGCGAATCTCACATTCTCAGCTTCCGAGTCAAATCGCTCACTGAGTTGAGCCACCGAGTTCGGCATCGCCACAGATCTTCCAGCATGTTGGACGGCTTTCTCGGTCGAGGATTCGCCGCAAAATGGTTCGGCGACGCGATTTCTCTGCTTCTTTGCTTTTGATAGTTATTGCATGATTTGGTTTCTGATGAAGAAACTTTCGTAGTTTGAGAATGTAGTTATCATAATTGTTGTTCTGTTTCTGTTTAGCAAATCGTTGATTAAATTGACGAAGAATCGGATCGAGGTGATAAGGAGGAAGAGGAAGGCGACGGAGAAGTTTCTCAAGAAAGACATCGCTGATCTGTTAGCGAATGGTTTGGATGTCAATGCTTATGGAAGAGTAATTGCCCTTTTTTCCTTCTTCTTTTAGTTTGGCGCAACACTGGATTGATATCTGAAATCATTGCATTGCACTACTTTTAAATCTCTTTGTCTAAATAACATGCGAGTTTCGCTCTTGCTTGATTCTACTACTAATCAAAGGTTACCGGCAGATCCAGAAAACAAATGAGAGAGGGCCAAAATTTAATAATAAAACATTAACATGTCCTATCAATTTTACATGTTTTTCAATTTTAGTATATTTATATATATTATATATGTGTGTAAAAAAAAAGAATAAAGAAAAATGTCATTGTTGTAAAATAATTAAGCAAGAATAAAGAACAGTATAATAGTTAATAGGAGATAAAGTCATTGTCATGAATGGGGATTTTTATTTTATTGTATAAGAATACATTAAGGAGACAGTATTTTAAAATTGAAGAGTAAAATATGTGAATCAATTATTAATTTGAGATGATGTGTCAAAATTTATATTTATGAAATGCAAATTTATACCTATAAATTTCGAAAGTTTTGATGTCGACAACGAGATAAAATAGGATTGACTAAATTTAAGCAATAATATTTGATAGGAAAGTAAAATTGACTTATACCGGACCAGATACATTATATAGAAAAGCCAAGTGGAATATTAAGAATGAGAGTATGTTGAGAGAAATCCTTATTCTCAATAATCAAGAATGAAGCCTTAAATTTAATATATAGGAGTTGATAATTAAATTAATAAAAGAAAATTGGTCATACATTTTTATCTAAAAAGATTAAAAATTATATACATATAAATTTGTTGTTTTTAAGTATCAGAAATTCAGAATGATTAATTCCTATCTTGTATTTAATTGTTGCTTAACTGAAAGGGGACTTTATGACTTTGAAGAGTTAGAATTGTGCTCTTGATTATATTTGGAACATAATTTGTTTTATCCTGCTTGTGGGGTGGTTATTCAGGCTGAAGGACTCTCTATTGAGTTGACTTTATCGTCTTGTTATGATTTTGTTGAACAATGCTGTGAGTTTGTGTTGAGGCACCTCTCAGTGCTGCAGAAACTGAGGTATGAATATATTTTAATGATTTATGCTTTAGATTTTATGTCATTTTTTTTTGGCATTAATTTTTTCATTTGAATCATGCTGATAACTGATAAAGGCAATCTACTAGGCTTAATGTGCCTTGTATAACTTGTAATCACTTCTTTTTTGGTGGTTGTCTAATAGAAACAATCGACCAACATTGTATATTTCTCAAAATGTATAGAAATGTTTACAACTCACTATTTATTTATAAGAAAATAAACCTTAAGATTATTTCAGCATGTCTAAAAATATAAAAGTGTTCTTACATAATCATCCTCATTGTTGTGCAGCGGTTGCATTAATATTAAAATCTAATGAATGTTCTAAGGTTCTGTCTGGAGATTTATTCATTTTGGTTCAAAACAAACAATGTAGTTCGAGTGCTTGATAATGACTGTGCTCTAGTTGGTTGTCTTCTTTCTTTTTATATTGTCATTAAATTATCTTTCCTCGTTTCGTTTTCAAAACATAATAAATGTTGGCCAAACTACATTATTTCCCCGTATTCTTTTAATAAGAGTAGAGCAGTAGGAATGTTGAACTCTTTTTGGTATGCTGATATGCAATTTTTGGACACATGCAGTGTCTAAATATCCTTGAATTCCTGGGGACATTTCAAAATTTTCCTCATGTCTTTTACAGTGGATGTCCTGAGGAGTGCAGAGAGGCTATTTCATCTCTGATGTTTGCTGCTGCAAGATTTTCTGATCTACCAGAGTTACGTGACCTCCGTCAAGTATTTCAGGAGAGATACGGAGATTCCCTTGAATGTTATGTCAATCAAGAGGTCACTCTTCATTTCTTTAGTTTCATTAGAATTGTACATATTTTATGACTTCTAAACTGACTCTTCAAATTGCTAATTATCAGTTTGCTACAAATTTGAATTCAAAGTCTTCTACATTGGAGAAGAAGGTTCACTTGATGCAGGACATTGCTTTGGAGTTCTCAATAAAGTGGGATTCCAAAGCTTTTGAACTGAGGATGTCAAAATCCTCTGCATTTGCACAGGTGCTTCCTTCACCCTTTTCTTATCTTTTATTAGTTTTCCCTATTATGCTACAAACTTACTTTCCTCCACATTGTTTTTGTTTTCTGCTTGGGAAATCATTTTGAGAATGTATGTAAAGCTGTACTTACTAATCTATGTCAGTATATGTACCCAAAATATATATGGTTGTGCAGGGCCCCAATCCTTTTAAGTCTTATGAGGCAACTGATTATGATAAACCATTACAAGGAAAGGATGCTACACCAAAAGCAGTAAAGTATGAGGTTTCATTTGAGAGAAGTCATGACTATCCTAATGATGGGCACAAATTGCAGAAGGGCAAGGAGGCTGTTGTTTCCAAAAAAGATGAAAATTATCTTCTTTCTAAATCTAAACGCCCAATCCTTGAAAATGGAGTCAAGCCACTAAGCAGTCATGATGAAGTCAATGTGAAAAGGGATAAGCATGGTTATTCGTTACCTGGAAGAGAAAATCATACTTCTAATACGAGTGATAGAAGCTATTGGAAGGAGGATAGTAAGCCAAACCCAATTGGATCTTCTTCCCAAGATAAAAGAGGAGAACAATTTGAAGGTGGTTCCAATCTGCATGACAGGTGGGGGAATGCCAAACGTGTTAAAGAAAGCCAGGATGCTGCCACTGCAAGGAAGTCGCCTGCCCATGCAGGATTCTGTTCAAAGAACGATGCAAACGATCCATTTGGTGTTAATCATGGTGGGCTACCAGATGTTGATAACCCAGAGAGAAAAATTCAAAGGGATGACACTCCTAGGGTAAAGCCTTTCTACAGTAATGCCATTCCACCTCCTTATGTAAAACCAAATTCAAAACTTAAGAACAGCATGCCTGGAAACAATTTAGCATCTTCACATAGAGACAGTAATGGCATCCCTAAATATCCTATGGCACATGAAAAGCCTGATGCTGCTTCTACAATGGACAGGATCCAATTAGGTTTGGATGATTCTGAACAGGATTTGCAGGCCATTAGACATGCAAGAGCGAGTAAACAGGATCATGAACAAAAACACTATATTCAGGAAGATGCTACTGAAGTCCCTGCATTAAAGCAAAAATCTGTGAGGCGGAAGCATTCAAAATCACGATATACTCACAATGATGCCAATAATGAAGATGCTGAAGTGAGAAAATCAAGGAGCAGGAGACGAGATGAACCAAGACGTGGCCTGCAAATTCTGTTTGAGGATGAGCGGCATAAAAATGATGAAGAGGAAAGGATTATAGATAGATTACTGATCCATTATAGCAAAAAGCCATCCATTCCTGTGCCTCAAAAGGAAAGAAGAAAGTCTAAAAGTCGCCGTGCACATCAAATAGATAACTCAACCAGGGAATCCCTGAAGAATGGAAGCAGAGATAGCCCTGATGAGACACCAGAGATGCTCGCTCATCCACCACGTTCAGTTTCACTTCCTCACGAACAATCAGGAGCAGTGAAAGTTAACAAAGTATTTGCTCGTGCTGCTTCATTTCAGCCAGATAGATCAAATGAAGCTCCGCATGTACATCCCAAGTTACCTGACTATGATGATTTAGCTGCTAGGATTGCAGCCTTGAGAGGAACATAAGTGATGGAAGTACAGTGAATAAATACTGCTCCTTTACCAGCATGATTGCAGTGATTATGATCGTCATGGTTTAATCTCGAATGCCGTTGGCATTGTTGAAGAGTGCGCGGTGGTGCTTTGATTTCCATTTGTTGACTATGCCAGAGCTGTATTATTAATCAGCCAGGGCCGTTCCTGTGTTGTTGACAATTGCTATGCTGTCATCAATTTTTACTAATGGTGATTATACTTGTATGCAAAGTTAATTCAAGATACCTTTTATGCTTGTAGAAGTGTTCTGTAACAGCAGAAATTGGTGGTCCTATTTTCTGAGTTGAGTAAAAGAAGTTGAGACATGGGATTGTGTCAAAGTTCTTGCCCGACCTGGTAATACTGCAGCTCCAAACGTGAATTTCAGTGAAGTTAGCAGTGTCACTATTGTGGCAGCGGTTTTTATTTTACTGAAAAAAAGGTTGATATTGATCTTGGAATGAGAAGTGTGGTGGAAGTAGAGGTCCAATTTTTACGTTTGAAAATAAACTTTCTACTTATCATATAATAATTTACTGACTACTTGAGGAATAATTCGTTAGAACTTGTTTAAAGATAATATGGTAGGTTGTATCTATCAAATTATCAGAAGTGTAATTGTCAAATGCCGGCTTATTAGATACTGATAGTGAGTGCTGATTGAGTGAGTTCATGGTAGGGGTCGTCGTTGTTGCTATTATTACTTTCATTGAAGTGCAGAGTTCAATCGTAATTTTAACAGCTCGTGATAAATTAAATATCTGTTTTGATTTTCTTAAGAGGATTTGCAATAATTTTTTTTTACATTTTTCATAAAAATTGCTCGGCATATAGAAGTGTGCTAGTTTTAGTGCAGCAGTCTCCCATGTAGGGGTGCGATAACTTCTCAGCCCATCATACCTCATTTCGGGATAATATCCTGATCGGTTTGGATAACAGCAAGTTGACCAAAATAATGGATAACCGCAAATATCCTTTTGCAACCAGCAAAATCAATTCATATTGTGTTTTCTCTTTCTTTTTCCCATATTCCCAGCATGAAAAATCGAGTCCTAAATTCTTTTTCACCTTTTCAAAAATATTTTTGTAGCGAATACATTTTTTTAATTTAACTTTTTCCTTGAAATACATAAAATTTGAACAAATCTATTTATATTCACATTATAAAAATAATTTCATTTTATCATCTAAGTAAAACTACTTTTTCTTAATTCGTTTTTAAAATATTATTAAAATACAAAACAATTCTTTCAACATTATTTTTTGAAAGAACTAATTCTACCCAAATTAAACCAAACAAATCCTAACATAGGTATCTCATTTGTAGGTGAGAATCTCACAGCAAAACTAGCAAATTGATCAATCTGACCATTGTCAGGACTTCTAACTAGTTCAGGAACAAAAGCCTTTACCCTTCCCTAGGACCATTAGCCCTTTTAGGATTCCCATCCCTAGACTCTCACCACCACCACTCGTCAAAGGGTAAAAGTAACATTTTTCCCGCCAAAAAATCCTTCATTCTCTCAGTTCTCACCCTTACCCTCCCCTATATTACTCTCTTTCTTTCTACTGCTACTTGTTCCACTACCTGCACAAAGAGGAAAAGAAACAGAAGCAAGTAAAAGGCTATAGTAGTCCACGCTCCACACTAAAAACTCCAAAAAGAAAATGAAGGGAACATCCAAAGTGATCATGGGAGCAACCTTGGTAATGGTGGTAACCCTTGCCGTTGTTCTAGGCCTCATTCTAGTGCTCCTAGCTGAACTCTACTGTTCTCTCTTACTCCGCCGCCGCCAGCTCAAAAAAACCAACTCCAACACCATCCCCATCTCCACCACTCCAACCACCACAACCATACCCAATGCTTCCCCTTCACATGCACCACACTCACAACACTCTCCTCCGCCACCCTTCAGCAACATTTATTCACAAGGGGTCCTCCAAGCCCCAACAAGTTTCCTTTTCCCTTTCAGAGATGACATGCTTGAACCAATGAAGCATCGTAAACAAGAACCAAAAGCATCCCCACTATCATCCTTCTTGGCCAGAGCACCCCAATTACAAGAAGTTCAAGAGACAAGTCAAGGTGGTGCCAGTGGCAGTGAAGTTCTGTGTGTTGATAAGTCTTGTTGTGGTGGGGAGCACCTTGTGTACATTTCCAACCCCATTTATGAAAACGAAGAAGGGAAAGAAAGTGTGGCGAACACCCCATTTGAGACACCAAACACTTCACCCTCTCTTTCGGAAAAAAGTGGTTCTTCTGTGGAGGATGATGATCATGATGCTTCTGCTAAGGCATCCCCTTGTGGTGGTGCTCATAGTCATTCATCACCTCCTTTTACACCTCCTTTGACCCCAATAAAGAAGCTTCCTGCTGAGGCTTGTTCTGTTTCTCTTAGAGATGCCACTTCCTTGGGTACTTCAGGCAGTGATTCTCGTAGCATCAGTGCTCCCTCTTCCTCTTCCTCCGGTTCCCCCTGTACTTCTCCTTCATGGTGATTGTGGTTCTTCGATGGACTAGTTAGTGCATGCTTGGTTCAGTTTCCTTTAGAAAAATAATCACTTTTTCAGTTCATTTTAAAAACAAGAGATTATTTCTCTAAATTTAAGCTGAACCAAATTTGTAGTTAGACTACAAAGCTTTTGTTTTGTTTTATTTTTATTTTCATTTTCATGTATTTGTTTTGTTATGCAGTAGTTGTGTGACATGTGAATAATATTATGATTGAGTATAAGTATCCACTGTGAGAAACTTTTATTAAAAATTAACATTTATTATATTAAAGTTATGAAGCATAATAAATATTTTTTTATAAATTATTATTATTAATTGTTTAAATCTATTTTTAAAATTCAAAATTAATATTTTATAATATTATTAGTGCTAATGATCGGGAAGATCTAGCCACTAATTAGTATGTGTCACAAGATGGGTTAAACATGCCTGAATCTATTGTACTAATTAAAATTAACAGTATTAAAATAAATATAAACTCTTAACCAGAAATCAAGAGGGAAAGGGAAGACAAAACTACAGGTACTATCAACTTTTCAGGCGTGACCATGCCCCTTCTAACCATGTCACCCTCATGCCAACTCTACATTTTATGTATCTATCTTTGCGTTCTTACCATTTACATTAGAGAAATGGATAGTATATGTTTCGGTTTCCTTCACATTTGCTAGGGTTTTATGGGAAGTTGTTGCTATTCATAGTACAAGTAGCAGACAAGCTCTTAATTTTCTCATTTTTATTTTTATGTTTTATGGACTGGGAGATTGTGCACGTGAATTTTGAAGGAAAAATTACTATAAAAATTAATTTTTTCCCCTTGGTTTTGTTATCATAAGAATCAAGTTAAAATGTTATATCTCAGTTTTTGAGGGGCCTCGAGTTATGATTCCGATAAATAAAACGTTGAAGGCTAAAAACAAACAAATAATATCACTGCAACTGTAAACAAAGACTTCTGAGTTAGTCGAAGTCTGCATCGATAAGGACAAGAAGCTTCATTTTTTGCATCTACTTACTGTATTGTGTTCAGTCAAAAGTAGTTTTGTGCACTATAGATAAAAGATGAATAATAATAATAATATAAAGCTTAATTAAGTATTTATTCTTTAGGAAAGTTGCATAATTTATATTTAGTTACTGAAAATTTTTTGTTATGATATAATTTTTATTTTTTACAAATTATTATTTTTAATCTCTCTAGTTGACATATTCTATTAATATATTATGATGTGTCAAATTTTTGTTAGACTATCTTAGTTAGATAAACTAAAAATAATAGTTCATAAAAAAATTCAATAAAATATTTTAAAAAATCAAGTTTAGATTGTGTAACTTTTATAGGAACTAAATATTTAATTAATAATAATAATAATAATAACCATTATTTGCATCCCTCATTGGTATAGGTGATATTTAAAGAAATTTTTAAGCAAGCACTGGTTAATATAAATATTTTAGTATACTAAATCGTTTGAGGCTGTTGTTTTTATTTTGTTTGTTTTGTTTAATGTAGGGAGAGATGAACTGATGATTATATCCACTCAATAGTTTGTTTTATTCCATACACCATCCGGCCTCTACAATGCCAAATCTTTGTGTGGATTGGTTCGATAATGGAGTAATTAGATCAAGGAAAATATTAACACCAATTGTTAGGGCTCATTTTAAATAATTTTTTAAAATTATAAAAAATATAGAAGTGTAGTAAATATTTTTTTTAATGCTAAGAATGTTGACAATATTTTTTTAGCTCAACAGAAAGAAGTGCAGATGAAGAATGAAAACAGGGCATGATTTTCTGATGTACCATTTCAATTTAGCTTATCACTAACCCATCAAGAGAGACATTATCTTAGCTTCTTTGATATATTGGGATGGGTCGATAAGGCCCAACATTGAGTCGATTAGATTTGCAAGTGATCAATTTGTACCCAATCATTTCCCTGTTACCATTGTCAACCAATTCTAATTTTATGATTCCAGTGAGATTGCTCACAGTAACATAACACTGATAAACCTAAATCATGCACAACAAATTTATCAATTCAACTAAAATTTAATAAATATAATACATGATCATTTGTTTATCTCATTTTATAAAATTAATTGAATAGTCAGAACAACATAAAATTCTAAGAGGTTAATTGTTTGTAATGATCAGACTTCAGGAATGGAACAGCTTCGTGACAGATCATGTGAAGCTTGTTTAACAGATGATAAATTGAAATAAATTATGAGCCCAACAAGCCTCATTATTAAAGGCAAGTGATCATTGCATAAATCCATGGCATCAATTCTAAAAAACCACTGCTTTATGTACCCAAAAAAAAGTTGTTACTTTATCTGCTAATTATTCATTACCAAAATGAAAATGATTACGTCTAAAATGATAGTAATAAACATAGCTTTGGAATCTTTAAATTGATAATTATCACGCTTGTGATGTCAACACCGCTATATTTAGCAGCAGTAGAACCTTGCTAATACATGGGAGCCAAATTGTGATTCTGAATATGAATTACTGATGCAAGTTATTCATTTCTTTCTTGTTCCTATAATCTCAAATGCAAACTAATTCTATAGTATAAATGGAGCTGACCCGTTTGGCAATTTGTCAAACCAGTTAAAGGGAAGTCATACCCACCAGAGTTTGGCTCGTAAGCTCTACTAATCAGTGGGAAAAAGAAGAAAAATTCATGAGTGTAGTGGACTAGTGTTTTTCAAGAGGGGCACTTTTGTTATATTTCAAGGTTTACAAAATATATATAGGTTAAAATTAATTATACAGTATAAAGTTAATTTGCAAATATTAAAAACAATTTAATAAAAAAAATCGTATTGTTTAACATTTCAGTCTCCAATGGATCAGATGAAATTAATCTAGAATCCTACCCCACTAACCTGAGAATCTAATTATCCATTGTATTTTTCTCATTGTTCCTTTGGACATCCATATAAATTGGAACAGCACTTGTCCTTTGAACTTTAAGACAAAATGCTTGTAAACGTGACACGTGTTATCAATAAATCTCTATAATTTTTTATCAGCTTACCTTTCATGGTAGGACAATTATTGGAGCTTATTATTCTATAGGACCAACAGCATGTCCTTTTATAAATAGCTTGATTAGCCAAGCTAGTTTGTCAACTTTGTGTGGCTTGTACATGAAACACAAGCAAGCTAGGTTAAACTCATGTTGAACAGTATAAGAAGAAGATTCTATTTATGGACAAATTCAAAATCATTCTCTCTCTTTTACTCAATATATACAACATCATAAGGAAAATAAAGAAAATGGAAATTATAAGTAAACTATAAGTATAATTAGAAAATGAAAACATTATAGTTTGAAATTAGTAATTGTATAAAGTGTGTATTATACATTTTTACGATTTCGTTTCCTTGATCAGTAAAACATGCACTATTTGTTTTTTAAAAAATATATTAATATTATATAGTTACACTTATAATTTTAGTGGGTCTAGGATTACTTGGTCTATGGGGGATGAGATGAGGTGATTATTGTGTTGATGGTCATGAAAGCACCCTTGGCAATGGAGGACAGATGGACCTATATATAAAGGTACTTTAACCCTTAAGTTAATTCATTCACCAATAGAGTGATAATAATGGAAAAACAATGTATGTAACTGAAATTGACTTATTATATAGGACTCATATGCAAGTAATGCATAGTCAAATTTCATGTGATATAGTCTAACTTGATATAATCATAGAAGGTTTTATAGTCAAATTTTATTATGTTGACTATGTATCCAGTGAATGAAATAACAAAAAAATGTTGATTACATTACTTTGTGGTTATACATCACAGAACAGAAGCATTTATATGAGGAAGTAGTGGATGATGACATTGAGAAAAGAGAGGTAGCCCATATGCCAATACCGTGTCGTTTTATTGATAACATTGTGACCACAAATTCTCTTTTTCTTTAATTTTTATTTTTCCTTCTGATATGAATATTCTTACGTATTTAAATTTGATTGTGCATAAAAGTGCCAAGTGTTCAATCAAGCATATGAAAGCATGAGCTTCCCACATGGCTACGCTCTTATACTCTCATCCATTCCCATGTTCTTTCGATTTGATTCCCCATCCCATTGGGCCCCAACAAAATAATTAGTACTTTATCCGTCAATAAATCCCATATTTTAATTAATTAGTTAAAATAAAATATAATTAAAATACAATAATATAAAGTATCAATCATTTTTAAACTATACAAAAATTGTAAATTTAATCTATTAATTTTAAATTATTAACTTAACATATAATTTTGAGTTTAGATGCAGTTAATACAGATATATTAAATATTAAATATTAAACATTTATCATTTATTATCATACCCAATTTAAACATAATTGCCTATCATAAATACTTGTAGTATAAAAATAAATAAATAAAGATACCCTTAAAAACACTTTAAATCTTAATTACATGAGTTAAATTAAGTTAACATATTTAAAATAATAAAAAATTGAAAAAGAATTTAAACAAATAAAAAACAACATTTTTAAAAATATTTTACGTATCAAGTAAAACTTACTTATAAGATATTTCATTTTTATCCTTTACCGCAGATAAAAAAAATGTAAAAAGATATATTTTATAAATAAATAATTTTTTTATGTAAGGTAAATATAAATATTTATTGAGTTCGATAATTTTTTTTCTCTCAAAATATGATGTCATATACTTTTCCTAAAATTTATGTAAAAAAAAGACAATTATAAATTATGTTCATTTTAACTTTAAAATATAAAATAAAAATAATTGTATAAAAAATTAATTCTAAAATATTAAAATAATAACATTATTATATATAAAGGTCCATCCCTGCCTATGTGTGCTTTCTGTGTGTAAAGAAAGATCTTGCTTTTCCGCTTGAAATTTTCATCCATCATCATCATCATCATCATCCATGGCATCTCAATCCCAAACACAGACTAACAAGCTTACCATTTCCACATCACCAAAGAGTGACAGTGGCAGTGGTGGTGGTGGAGGAGCAGGTTCGTTGCCAAAAGGGCACTGCTTATGTTCACCAACGACACATGAAGGGTCCTTTAGGTGTCGTTTACATCGTGGGTCTTCATCAAAACCAGCTTGGATGACACGTTCCAAGTCCATGCCTGCCAATAAGCCTGTCGTTTCAATCTCCCCAGAGTCCACATGATGATGATATGCTGAAGATTATGATTTGTGAGTTGTGTTCATCATGTGTACCTTTATTAATCATTGCTTGCAACTTTTGATTACTTGAATTTTGCAAGTGTTAATGCATGGAACCTTCTTGTTCCAAATCTCAATTTCCCCTATGCTATGTTACACACATATATACATATATAAATTAGTAGAGATAGATGTATTTGCCTAATTAATTTAATTCTTGGGGTGGATGATGATGGGGTTGCTAGCTGTAATATATTTTCAGAAGTTCTTTGCTTATCTAACTTGATTTCATCCCTTAATTAAGAAACAAACCAGGTGCTGGATTTTTACCAAGTTGTTCTAAATATTAATTCTCTGGGTTTTGATAATAGATCCTCTACATTATACTATACTATTTTGGACAAGTCTCGTTTGTTTTATTTTATGGTTTTTAATTCAATAATATATTGTAAGAGCAAGGAGTATGTTTTACCAGATCATGAGATTCTTATTCAGGAACATGTTTTTTTCACATAACAGAGTCATTGGTTGGAGCTGTAGATTTAGAAAAAGGGAAACTTTTTGTTTTAGTTTTTTTTTCTTAAACCATATGATTAGTTTTCTTATAATAAGATTTTTTTGTGACTGATAAGGTATATATTGGGGGGTTTTGTTCATCCACCAGAAATAGAAAGAAAAAAAAAGATTTTCTTTGTCTACTTGTTGGTGATCTAGATTGAGAAGAAAGATGATCATTCATTTAATTACTTCTTGGTTCACCCATTTTAATTAGTGATATTGTTTTTCTGGACAAGAAGTAAACGACTTGGATGGGCTTTGAATGGCTTGTGATTTTAACAAAATATTGGATATGATGAGATTGAAATGAATTACAGTCAAATGACTTGGAATAGCAGAAAAACCACCCAATGAAAACCGATGGCTCTTGAATCTTGATAAAGACACACAATTATATTTTGAAGATTTTTTGCTTTGTCGCCTTCTTTCTCTTTCCATTAGTTTCATATTTTAAAAATCAAAATATATTAACCCCTATGCAATTTGCTTTTACAAATGAAAATAAATAGAAATGGATTATTCTTCTGGATAACTTTCAAAAAGTTGAAGCAGACACAATAATATTTTTGTGATACTCCACTGAAACAATATGATTAATCATCATTGTTAAATATGAATTTACTTTAAATACATAATCTGTAAGGAGACATCTTATGATGAATTACCACATTATTTAACAGTTTTATTAAATTATGAAATAATAAAGCAATCATTAATAAATAGAAGGATTTGCATTATTAATACATCAAAATTAACTATTTAGATATTACTGAAGTTGAATATAGAATCAATTATGAAAATTAAGATTAGATTGATTTCAACCCACTCCACAATTTGGGCAAAAAAAAAAAATATTATAAAAAAAAATCAGTGCCTCTCTGTGCAGCATTTCTACCTGTGAGTGAATTTTGCACCAACCCCTGATCATGATGATTTGATTAATTGGCACTCAAACTCGTTGCCATGATGTATATTATAGCTAATTATCTTTCAAACAGAGAAATTAATGATAAGTTGCTACAAGGTGGACCTATACATAGAGAACTTTAGTATCATATTCATGGAATCATCTTAAAGATATATAAATATTTATTATAATATTTTATCTCATTTGTAAAATAATATTATTCTGAACAAGCATGAATTGATGTCACTATCACAAGTCTAGATATTCTAAACCACTTTGGTTATTTCAATCCTTTTGTTTTTCTTTTGGACTGATTACTTGTTAAATAAAATTCAGTCACTATCACATGAATCCCATCTATTAAGGAACTTGAATTCTTGTTTAATTGTTGGTAGAGCTTATCCATATAACATATAAGGAACTACAGGGACTGCTAAAGGGTGTGAATGAGCATACAATGTACAGATAAGAAGAACATATGTAAATTTTAATTATATTTATTATATAAAAGTAAATCATACGATATGTTTTTATATTTTTATTTCCAACATAAAAAAATGTCTTTAATTTAAGGACATTAAATAACATATTAAACATCTCATTGATTTAAGTTGAGCCAAAGATCACAACTACAGGAAATGAAACTATTTAACTACATATAAAATAACTTGGATACAATTTGCATGAATAAATAAAGAAACAAATGAAGGGAGTTTAAAGATCAATAGTATGCATTAATCATTTGTCTCAACTCAAATATCTTAAATCTTACTTATAATAGTTGGAGTTTATTTAAATCATTTTTTTTATCTTATTATTGTATTGTCAAACTAGTGTGACTTTAAAAATACATTTAAAATTATCCAAATATATATTTAACACAAAAGTTATTATTAATAAAGTTAAAATAAGCATAAATTTAAAAATATTAAAACAAAAATTCAAGCTCATAATTAATAAATATGAATTATAAGTAAAAGAAATAAATTTTTGGTGTAAGGAAATTTTTAAAACGTGGAAGAGAAAAAAGTGTATATATAATATTTTGAAAATATAGATAAATATTCGTTTTGACTTGATTTGTTTCATCCCTCAAATATTATTATTTGGGCATAACTTGGATTAACGGGGTGAATTTTTTAAGATACAATCAACAAGTTTGATGAACATTTTCAAATTAAGTCACCAAAACACTAGGATTTTACAAAATGATAACTTTACTTTTAGTCCTTATCTGTCAAAAACAAAAGCAATTAGATATATAAATATGTTGTCAGAATAAAATAAAAATTATAAATTTTTTGTGTTTATTCATAACATAACAGAGAAGTTAAAAATATATTTTCTAACTCACTTTTCTTATGATCAATAAATTAAATCCATCATTTAATGTATTTTATTGTATTAAGTTTTACATATAAATAATTATTTTATTTTATAATTTATTTTTTTATCCTTTTCGATTGCAGCCTTATTTGAATAAATTTGCTAACAAATGCTTATAAAAATCATTAAACATTGTATTAAATTATATTTATTTTTAAACAATATTCTTAAAATATTTTCAACAAGAGATGCTTAACTCATTTTTTCAGATAAGCAAATGAAGCTTATACAGAAATATCGTTGGAAAGAGAGGATATGACATTTCATTATCTTATATAAGCAATCTTGTTTGAACAAAAATTAAGTAAAAGGTGACTCATTCATACAATTTTTCAAAACAAAAAAATAACACAAATCAGAATTAAAAGTAAAAATTTAAATTGTGAGATAATTTATAAAAACTATTCATTAAATTTTCAAGAACCATACGATTAGAGAAAAAAATGATTTTAAATGATAAAAATAAAAAATTAACGTATAATTATAACATCCATACAAATTAATACAATAAAATATCATTTTGACATAGTAGATTAAAAATTAAGGGAGCGTAGGAAAAGATAAGCACACAAATAAATATAATAATATCAAGTGCCCATCTAACAAAAGAGCGACCAATTAAACAATGGCAACACATAATCTGAGAAATTAAGAGTAAAGAAAAGTGTTAATTAAGAAGCGTTAAAGTTGTTAAACAAGGATTATTATTGTTTTACGTGTTTGTCTAAAAGTGGTAGAAAGAACCATAACATAACAAAACACATAACATTACATACCATCTGTCATGATGACCGGGAAGGACGAGTTCGTCTCTTACTCGCCCCTTCCCTCAAACCCTAACCCTAACCCTAACAGTTATTCCCAATACCCTAACCCTTATCCCCAAAACGTCGTCGTTCTCCTTCCTTCCTACTACTCTCGTTTCGACCGCCGTCGCCGTCGCTGCATCCTCTACTCCGCCGGCTTTTTTCTCTTCCTCCTCCTCGCCGCCGCCGTCTTCATCCTCTACCCCTCCGACCCGGAGATCCGCCTCGCCCGGATCCGACTCAACCACATCGGTATTCGAACTTCCCCAAAGCCGATTCTCGACCTCTCCTTCTCCATCACCGTTAAGGTTCGCAACAGAGACTTCTTCTCCCTCTCCTACCACTCTCTCGCCGTCTCCGTCGGCTACCGTGGCCGCCAGCTAGGGTTTGTCACCTCCTCCGCCGGTGGCCGCATCAGGGCGCGTGGCTCTTCGTACGTGGACGCCACGCTCACTGTCGATGGGTTCGAGGTCATCTACGATGCTTTCTACTTGCTCGAAGACATTGCCAGGGGCGTGATTCCGTTCGATACTGATACGCGAGTTGAGGGGAAATTGGGACTTTTCTTCTTCTCAATTCCTTTAAAGGTGCTCACCTGTGAATTTTAACTTGCAATTTTATTTAATTCTTTTATTCAATTTCGATTGTGGGTAGCTTGTTTTAAATTTTTTTCTCATGAAATTGCTGTAGATAGTTGGGTTCTTAAGCATTAGCATATTAATCAGAGTTTGATTCTATGTTATATGAATGAAAATCTGTGTTGAAATAGATTATTAGTCTTCAATTATCAGCTAAAACATACCTTTAGTGCATACTAAGAAAAACATTATTATAGTAAGTTTTTATTAAAAATAACAAAAATTTATACAATTAAATACAATAATGCTATTAAATGCTAATTTTTCTTAAAAAATATTATTATTAAATTTTTTATTATGTGCAGTGTTGTATAGGTTTAAATTTTTTTTTCATAATATTTATTTATTTATTTATTTATTTTTGTCTGGAAATGAAAGGGGTAAAACCCCGTATTTGATGAGTGGAGCTAGTCGCGTTGTTGTTTTTGTGTTTTTCAAGTATTGACATGATTAATGTGGATGCTTTTTTGTCTATTTGATACCTCTATCTGAAATACTGTGTTCAATCCAGGCAACAGTGTCGTGCGAAGTGTATGTGAATCTAAACAAGCAGACAATTGTACGTCAAGATTGCTATCCTGAGGTGAGGATTTTTGTTTCTTACATCAAATGTTAATTTGCAATTTCGCTGCTTATTTATGGCCAAGGAATGATCCTTTTCATCAATAGATAGAAATTATTCCTTTCATGTTTCATCCTTTCCATTATTTTCCTGAATTGTTCACTTGTTTGTTATTATACGTCGGCAACTAATTTGTTTGGTGCAAATGCAATGTACGTATATATTTTGTATCTTCTTGGTTAACTCTTTTCAAATGTGTATTCAAGTTCTCGTTCCTTTACTGTCAAACTCTTGCTCTACTTTTATAATCCTAGATGTCTGCAATTATTTATAGCAGTGTTTTTTAAGGAGAACTTCAAACCTCTATACGAAAGGCATAGAGATTATAAGATTCTCCTATATGCAAAACTATGATCATCATTGAGCGCTTCATTTCCGTTGTTTTAGACGGAACGTTGAATTGACATTTTGTTTGTAAATTGTACTTCCATAGCACTATAGCACCCTTTTCTTATATAATATTATGATACTTTTCTGGCCGTGTTTAATTAGTCTGATTTCGCTGCAAATCTATTCATTTTGTAGCTGCAAGCTTGAACTATGAGAAACGTTCTTATAAAGCTATTTTTTCCTATGCCTATAAGAAATCCTGAATAATCGACTTGAAACTTAAGTTATACTTTTTATGCTTGTTAGCCTGGGGGCTTCTTGGTCTTAAACCATCATCCTTACTTCTTACAATCCTGTAGTACTCTGCTGGGGGATCGGGTTTGTCATAATTTACCCTCAGTATCATTTGTCTTATTCATCGGTGGTTGCTTTTACGGAGTTTCAAAAGTTAAGGGTTGAATTAAATTACATTATCCCCTACTTTGAACTTTTTAAGTTTTGGCTACGCAGACCATCTGACTTGTTATGTGTTTTATATTTTTAAACTATTTTACAGTTTACAATTCATGTTCTCATTTAATATATATATATATAGAATTTGCTGATCCATTATTCATTTGCTTCAGTCACTGGGTGATCCGCTGGATCAGAACACATATATTGGAGTTGGAGATACATGATGCGGTATTGATCTTTTAGCATCCTCTGTTTATACAGGCGCCGGTGTTCTGTACTTTTCATTACATTACTATTAGCGTGCTGTATAATTGTAAATGGATCACATACCCTTGTAAATAATGGTTGTCTAGAGACTACCAGCATTTTGTATTTAACGCTCGTACGAGGTATATAAAATGAAAGTTGTACCTGGGAGTTTTTCAGTTATGTAGTTGAGAAATGAAAATATTGTTTTATGATAATGCTATTTTAGTTTGCTTTTTAAATGGCACGCTTATATGTTCACAGTTCACACCCTAGATATTAGTCGAGTTTGTTTTGGAAGTGTCTTTTTCATTGGTTGGTATGACCAATATTTTCTTATTTTGTTTACAACGAAAGTTCTATTCATATTCTCTTTTGCTTTAATTTTTTTATGTGAAAAATGTTACTCCAAACTAATGTTGAATATGTCGAGCGTTTTAGGAGCGAGTGAAGGGGCACTGACATGTAGAATGTTCGTAGGCGGGGGGGGGGGAGGTGTCCTACCACGATATGATATATTGAAATTGCTGAATTGAATATTGAATTTCAATATCTTGGTGGAATATCGTCGTCAGTGGTTAATGGGTTGCTATCTAGCATCAATTCTCTGATAGCTGTGTCTGTTTTAACAAAAATATTCTGTTCTCAGTGCGTTCAAGCAGTGGCCGAAAGAACCAAGTTCAGGCAGATTTGTTGGTGGAGCCAAACCTGCCCTGATTGAACGGGAATATAGATCAAGGGTATAAACCCTTGTTTTCTTTTGTCAAACTTTAGAGATTGGTTGGGTCCTTTTATTTATGTTTTATTCTCACGGTGATAAGAAATATTTTCCTGATATCATTCACAAAACAAAAAATAACAGGCTTCTATAAATCATATTTTACCCTCTGATTACACAGTACAAACACATGTTGTTTCAAAAGTAAGTGTTTTTAAATGGTGCATCCTTGAATCGAGATCTCGAGGATGGGTACCACTTCTAGCTTGCAAATTTTTGAATTTGGTGTCTACTCTGATATTTATCTAATAATCATTTAGCAATGCCAGGATATGATACAATTCTGAGATGATGAATAGAAGGGAGAGAGTAGGGGTACCTTAAAAGCGACCTAGTGGCAACTCCCTTCTATTCAGATTACCTTTTGGGTCTAATTTAAAACAGTGTCATTCTAATGCAACATTTATGTAGTAGAAATAAGAATTAGTGAAAATCTTGTCACGTTTTTTTATATCTAAATCCTGTAGTTATGAAGCATTAGCATACCTTAATTGGCACAGGAAAAGCAAAGAAAAGCACTTCAATTTCATTATTTATTACAAAATGCGAGTAACTCCATCCTTTGTGATCGCAAATTCTTTCACGAGAATCATTAAAGAAGAAAGGGGAAACATATTTATATGCATGCTTGCAAACTAGATCCTTTATATACGATGGAAATTGGAAACATCTAATGGAACCAACACTACTTAATTGCTCTGCCGCGCCACACATACTCACCATGATGGTGGCGGCACCGGAATGACCCCGGATGCTGCGACGGCGAGCACACGCAACGCTTCACAGAACCACCCTCTCCAGAGCTACCACCACCATGAACCTGCCTCGGTGCATTGATTCTTCTATCCACAATCAAACCTTCTTCCTTCACAAAAGGAACACCCGGGTGACACATTGATTCTTCTTTGTGCTTTCAAACTCTTCTAAATAATAAAAGGTATATGTATATATATATGTGCCTTACTTTCTCAAGCTAAGACTTCAAAAAGAAAAGAATCTAAAGGGTAATATGACATTGTACAAGAAGAGAAGAAAGGGAAAAAGGTGGTGCATAAGTAAAGGCTTCTGCGGTGTTTGGCATAAAGGGCTTTTAGATAGATTCCTTCGGACAAAGTATTGTGTTTTGCATAGCAATTTGCAAGGGTTACTAGAGGTGTGTATTTTCATTTTTGTGTATGTATAAAAGAGGCCAAGCCAAACCATATCTTGCATAAAACCAAACCCACTACATTGAATGAAAGTTCCAAACTAGTGTGTGGCCCCATCACAAGTGATCAAGCATCTCTCTTTGGTATCTGTCTTTGATGATGCCACTTGGGTACATTTGGTGCCTCTAACCCAAGAAGAAATCTTGCGTGGCATGCACCTCTAGTGGGATATTAATGAAGGTGGTTTCATTTCATAGGCATGGATAGAATCACCGCCATTGAATTTTGTGTTTTGGAGCTATTCATCCTACCTTAAACTACGTTACTTTTGCGGTAAAATTTGTTTTCAGTATTTATATCACAATAAAACAACATTACCAAAAACTTTCTCTTGCTGTATTATAATCACAATGTTGATTTCATAAGAATCACGCTCCACCTAGCACTTTTAAATTTTCTGTGAGAGCACGTGTTTATTTAGCAGAAAGTGAATATAACAATATGTTAGAAACATGTTGATGGATTTCCTAGTTTGATTCTTGAGCAGTGTCTTTGTTTTCCTTTCAATTGTTTGCCCTTTCCAATTCAGGTAATTAACCCAAGATAAAGATTCTTTATACGATGGTTGAAAGCTCACTGGTTCATTTTCATAGACGCTTAGATGTATATATGAATGTACCATACTATGGTATAGAAAGTAGAAAGCAGAACCATGTGTTACCCACTTGGGCACTTCACAAATTTTACCCCTTTCTACTTTTAAGTATGCAATGACCTTTTTGATAATGATATGATATGATGGAAAAATCATTAGGTGATTCAAACTGTGCCAGTAATATTACGCTGGATAGATAAATTTTATAATTTATGAAAAGGTATAAATATGTGTCTGGTTAGAATTACTTAAAGATTATTGGATATAATGTCACACGCCCACAAATTTTCAAAACATCTACAATATTCAATATAAACAATTAAAATTTATAATAAGCATATTAATTAAAATTAAGTTTAAAGGTAATTTGAAATTTTTCTTGGAAGTAATAGTAATAGTAAAATTTTATATAAAATTTCACCTAAACACGAAAGAGCTATCCTGGAATGACATTTTTCTTCAGAATGAATTCGGCCTTTAGGATTGAAATCTCATTACAGGCCCCCAAAAGACAGAAGCAAAACGACCAAACATAGCTAGTACATTAAAAATATTAGTTAATGAATTAAAAATAATTATTTTATCAAACTATATATATATATATATATATATCGGTCAAAGTTCTGAGCTCATTTCACCGTTCCAAGTTTTAATTTGACATGCCTCTGCAGCCTGCTCGTCACCTTTGACTACAATATCATGAAATCTCAATTTCGTATGGCTTGGAATAAGGATCCCGTTGTATAATTTTTTCTAATTTAATTTTTCAAAAAATGAATCATTTATTTTATAATTTTTTATTAAGAAAAAGTATACTCTTTTTTCGATATTTTTTTAATGAAATGAATCATTTTTTATAATAATATGTTATATATAGTATGTTATTTAAAAATTCCTACCCAAAATTAAAAAATTGAAGCGAAATGAGAGAACTTGATCAGACAAAATTGGGATTCATGCTATTTATTCAATGATTAATTCATGAAAAAAAAAATGACCCATTTTCTTTTGTCTTGGACCATAACATTAAAAAACCTTTACTAATCATAAATTCACTATTTAACTTCCACCAAAAAACCCAATTTGATCAAACATGAATTTTTACCACACTGTTCAACCTGCAATAATTTTCTCCACTGACCACGACAACATGTTTCTAGAAAACTTGGGGTTGAATCTTCGAAGGTTGTTGCTTGAGAATCCAAACTTGTAAGGCAAAAAAACAGTTAAACACACATGTAACATATTAAAGACGATACATCTTTCCCTTCTCCTTCGTGTCCCTACCTGAGTCAACGAGTCGCCAACCGAGTCGAAACTGCTGACTCGTCTTCAAACTCACTCTTTCTTTCGTTGAAATTTCTCAGAGACGCCACCACACCACCTTTCTCATTTCGTTCCCTTTTCTCTTCCTCACCTATAAATGCAACCCACCCTTCTTTCCCTCCCTTCAAACACATACACCCCTTTAAGGTTTTCCTCAACTTTTCCATCATTTTCTCGACCCTTTTTTCCCGGAAAATATCGTTTGGAAATGAAGACTGTGAATTTTTTCGCATTCCCACTTCTCAGTTTGTTGTTCATGGCAATCTCTCATCTGGGTCAAGCTCAGAATTTGGCTCCTTCTTCAGCACCTCCTCCTAGCAATGATGGTGAGTGAGAAAGTAGCAATCTTTCTTTCTTTTTCCAGAATTTCTTTCTTCATTCTTCTTAATTTGTGAAGTTATAGTAAAATTCCTCTCTTTTTTTGGGTGTATTTTTTAATCTAATCTTGTTTTGTTTATCGCAGGCACTGCAATTGATCAAGGAATTGCTTATATTCTTATGTTGGTGGCGTTGGCAATCACGTATATGTTCCATTAATTTTTTGTTACGAGATTAATCATATATGATTTTTTTTAATTTTCTCTTAATATTTATCGAGGAAATTTCAGAATTTTTTTGTACTGTAATTATTATTGATACAATTTAATATTATTAATATTCTTACACATTTCCACCAGCTAATGGTTTCTTTCTTCTTTGTTTGTCTTTTTGTTGTATGTATGGTGAATTTTGAAGCTTCCATTTTTCAAAGACGCGGTTTTGCTTTTGTTCTGTGAGGTTAATGAAAATGGAATCATGATAGAGATAGGGTTCTACTACTTAAATTATCTTATTCAATGTTTTTTTATTGAAAAAAAAAGGGTTTTTGTATTCATTTCGTGTTCCTGTTATATAAAGAAACTTCAATAAAATAAGTGACTCCCATTTAATACACGCATACAAACTGGTCAAGCCGTACGAATTTGAATGTTTTGAACTAAAAAATTAATAAACTAATTATTTATTATGAGATAGAATACTTAAATAATAAATTTTATTAACTTTAACTTTTAAATTTGAGTTTAAATATTTATATATAAAAAATTTATAAAAACTATACAGTTATTATATTAAAATTATAAAAATATAATAAATATTTTTTTAATAAAATTTTACTACTATTAATTACTTATTTTTATTCTCAACTTTAAAAGTTGAGATTAACAAAATTTATTTATAAAATAATATATATATATATATATATATATAATTTTTTTTTATTTTTTGTTACATCATTATTTCTCTCTCTCTTTATCTTATTTGTAAATAAAAAAGCTGTATATTATAATTTTGTTACTTTTATTTGGGTTAATATGATTAGCCATCATATCTTGCGTATGCTACTAGCAAAATGTCTTGATTTATTCCGGCAACTTTGTTTTCTGGACTTGCAAAGATACGTTCATAAATTTTCATTTAAATATAAATATATTACTTTAATTGTATTTTTTATTTTGGTTTATTTAATTTCGAATTCGAATTTTTTCCAAATGTAATGGGAAGGTGAGTTGAGTGGAAAGGAAAAAAGGAGCTTCATAAGATTTGCTTAAGTAAATTTATTTAATTTTTTTTATCTTTTTTTAAACTTTGTTTAGGTGAAACAAATATATTTTTATTTGAATAAATATAACTATACATTCGAATCTTGTCATAAAGAAAATTTAGATTCTTTAACTTCACTGAATTGACCCTTTATTCCACTTATCAATGTTGTGAAAAGCATTAACAAAATTTTTTATGAGTAAGAGATGTTAATAATTACTAGAAGAAATCCTAATAAATATAAAGAAAAAAGATGGAACTAAATTCATTCAAATAATTGCTTTTATTTTTTAAAAAAATCACAAAAAAGGTCATTACATATTGGATAAAAAATAAAAGTTTAAGAAAATGACGCGTAATATTCAACTGATACATTGGGATGAATAAAAAAAAAGTCCTAACTTTGTTATTAGAGTCCACTTTTCCTTGCATCATCTCCAATAATTTGGAGATAAAGAAAAAGCGTCACATTTTTTTAAATGAAGTACCAAATTTTTATCATACAAATGTTTGAAGGATAAATTTCGAACTAATGATACTAAAGGAGGTTTGCTAGTTAAAATAAAATAAAAAACAATTTTTAACATTTTAAAACAAATTTAATTAAAATACTATAAATGATGCATGATAGATTATTTTTAAAAAAAATATTATAAATCCTTTTTAATTCTACATAGATTAGTTTATATATGTTTCCTATGTAACATATAAATAAATCTAAAATCATTCAAATGAAAAGTCTTTTGATTCAAGTTAATGATAATGACACAAGTGTGAAGTGAAATGTTGCTAAATCAATATATCTAGCTATTTATTCATGTCTCATAGGTTTATTTCTCTCTCTCATTTTAAAGTGGACTAGATATTTTGGTTTGACTTGTTTAAAAATAAGCTAATGAGTTAGTAATTTGACTTGTCAAATACAAAAAAAAAAAAAAAAAAACAAAGTAGGTTGGTGGATCAATGAATTAACATTCTAATCAGTCTAAAATTAATATAAAAATAAAAAGATAAAATTCACTCTAACTTGTTATTAACTCACATTTTTTTAGTAGGCTAAAGTAGAGTAAGCTAGGCAAATCAATAGGTGTAAAACTCTCAACCCACCATTTTTTATATGTTAAGGCTTGCCCACTAAATCAAATTCACTTTATCATCTTTAATCTTTGACGATGCAAATACAACATTTTGAAGATATGAAGGGAAAAAAATTTGTTAGGCTTACTTTTTCTCACAACATGTACTGTTAAATGATCAGCAACATTAAAAATCTTGTTAAAATAGAAAATACCAATACCCTATGAGTATTAGACGTTTAAATTTGCCAAGTAGCATGTCTTCAACTAAGCATTAGGAAACAAGCAAGCACCCTAACCACAAAACAGAAAATTATACCAATGCTACTCCAAAAAATTCAGTTCACATGGCAAGTTGCCCTTTAACAATTCCACAAGGCAATGACATGCAATTGTCATGTGCATCACGTGATTAAGTTACTATACAGAATGTGATATTGTGATCCACATAAACTGTATAGAAATATATCTGGGGGCATAGGTCTTGGGGTAGGGTGTTTTTGATTAAAGGGATAGCAATTTTTATTCAGTTGAGATTAGCTAATTAGCTTTTACTACTTTGCAAGCGAACACACCATTCTTGGAAACCCAAAAAGAAAGAGTGAGGTCCTAGAATTAGATAGTGGCCAATCCACGTTTTTTTCAATCCAATACCATGTGCTTATATTCAAAGTCTCTTCACTCTTCATTGTACTTGTTTGCACACACTGATGAACTATTAGTTCTAGAGTAGTAAAGCCATGGATATTAAAAACTGTTGCCAATCATGCAAGAAAAACATCATCCAATCAAGGTGTTGCGATGAGATTGAACGTGGAAATTCGATATCAGCCAATAGATCAAGTAAGATGAGGTGGAGAGTGTTGTGGATGAAGTTCAAGAAAGAGAAGAAGAAGCTATTTGAGTACTCTGCATCACCCCTTCAGGTCCCTTATGATCCATACACTTACTCTCAGAATTTTGACCAAGGGACTTCAAAGTTTGAGCCAGATAACCTCTCTAGATCTTTCTCCGTTAGGTTTGCTGATCCTTCTACTTCTAGAATAATTGTAAAGAAAAGGGTAATTTGAGAAACTTGTGATTCCAATGTATTAGATTGCAATGTTAAGTGATACATTAGTGTGCCTTTAACTCTTTCATTTTCCCCTATTCTATGTGGTAACCACTTCTCTGCATATTTTGTATGACACGTGAATATACCCATTTCTTAAGGTAGTGGAACTTAAGTTCAGGTCTAATATTTGTTTATTTACCTGTCTTCTGATATGAATATTATTGAAGTAAATATTAGTAATAAATGTAAAAATTTTACCTATTTTTGAGTTAATGATTTTATTTTTATCATCTGTTAAGACTTCAGAACTCCAATAGATAATGTCACAGTAGTTTTTCTTCTAGTTTATATTTAAGAAGTAATTCTTAGAAATTATTCATTGTAAAGATCTTTGAATACACCCTCTATTCAAACTTCTGAATGTTTTACTTATATCTCAATTTCACAAATATTGAGTTTCCTTCACTGTTCTTCGATGCGGTTCAGCATCACACAAGCTCAAAAATAGGTTAACATTACCAAGATAATACCTAAACTTATATTTTAGCATAAAAAGTATTGAGTAGTTGATCCAATGGTGCATATGTTCTGTTTACAAGCACCCATAGATGAAAGTTTCAAAGCCAAGGAGAATTGTAAATAGGAGTTGCAACAGATTTGACTTGAAGAAACTTGTGAAGTGCTTCCAATCCATAATCTCTTCCAAATCCACTCATTTTATAGCCTCCAAAAGGGCAATCAATATCAAAGGCAAAGAAGCAGTTGATCCATATGATGCCTGCACGGATGGACCTTGAGACAGTGTTAGCAATATCCAAGTTCTTGGTCACAATCCCTGCTGCTAGGCCGTATTTGGTGCTATTGGCTTTACTAATTGCTTCCTCAATGGTCCTATCAAACATATACCCTTAAAATGAGCAATAAAAAACATCTTTTGTACCAAGTCAAGATGAATATAAGATGGTCTTACTTGAACTTAGAAAGTGCCATTACAGGTCCAAATATTTCATCTTGTGCTATTATCATGTCCTCCTAAATAGATTTTTCAAAAAGAAGAAAAAAAAATTAAAGGTTAATAGTTGAGTTATATATGAATTTATAATAAAGGTAGCCACTTTCATGCTTCTTGTAGAGTTGAAATACACCTTAACATTGGCAAAAATAGTAGGCTCAATGTAGTATCCCTTGTTGCCCACAGGCTTACCCCCAGTCAATAATGTGGCTCCTTCTCTATTTCCTTGCTCAATATAGGAAAGAATTTTATCATATTGTGCCTTGCTAGTCTGCAATAGAAAATCATGTGCAAAGGAGAATTATGTTAAGCTGTTTATTTTTCTGCTAGCATCTATATCCAGATTGAATAGAATATGTTGAGAGGGTTTCTACTGGTAAAGGTACATTACTTAAAACACAGTTGTGTGCACTTGTGCCAATTTAAATTATCCTTACTTGAGGTCCTTGTTGAACTTGAGGATCAAAAGGGTCCCCCACAACCCAAGTTTTTGCTTTCTCCACTACCTTCTTCTCAAATTCATCATAAATCCCTTCCTGGACGAAAACTCTGGAAAATGCAACACACATTTCTCCCTGAAAGTTACAAAGAGACTCAAAGGGTATAAGTCTTTGTTCTATTTTGTTGTTTCAAAATTTCCTTGGAAGAAATTATACCTTGTTTAATAGGATGCCAAAGAGTGCAAGTTCAACAGCCTTGTCAACATCAGCATCATCAAAAATTAAAACTGGCGATTTGCCTCCTAATTCAAGTGAAACAGGTTTCAAATTGCTCATTGCCGCTGCCTGCATTATTTTTCGACCTGTTTCTGTTGAACCAGTGAAACTGACCTGCAATATAACATAATCACAATAAAGCTTAGCAGTTGGTATCAAATGCTATGCATCTTCAATTTAATCAATGCTATAAATATAAACTTTTGACACTCAAATTACCGCATCAATGTCCATATGTGAGCTTATTGCAGCTCCAGTTGAGCCAAATCCGGTTAGTACATTGATCACCCCATCTGGGATACCAGCCTTGATGAAAAGGGAAAATAAGAAAGACCTAGTTAGCTTATATTTATTTTTCATCCATGTATTAGTGATAATAATAAACAAAACATAAATTTCCAAGATATATTTTAGATGTATTAGCTCCTAAGGAAGCATTTGGTGACAGATTAAACATGAATCCAAACACCAAAAGCTGCCTATGGAGCTAAGCTAGATTAGCAACTCAACCAATTCATTTAACCATACCAACTTAGCAAGATGAGCACAGAAGAGTGCAGAGAGAGGTGTTTGCTCAGAAGGCTTGATGATCATGGTGCAGCCAGCAGCCAAGGCAGGGCTAGACTTGGTGAAGAACATGATGGTAGGGAAATTCCAAGGGATAATGTGTCCAACAACACCAATAGGTTCCATGAGTGTATACAAGTGGAGGTCCCGTGATGTTTTGAACACTTGTCCATGAATTTTATCAGCAGCGCCAGCATAGTAACGTAGGATGTTGCATGCTTCAGGAATGTCCACAGCCTTACACCAACTATATAACTTTCCTCCATCAATGGTATCCAATGCTGCTATTTCTTCAATGTTCTGTTCAATTAGCTCTGCCCACTTCAACATAATCTTTGCTCTCTCCTATTATCATGCATCACATAACCAAACCAAATTAATATATGTTTCTCACAACTAGAGAACAATGTCTTGCTTGAGTGAGCATTATAGTTATAATCATCTTGATTTTGTACAATTGATTTTATTTAAAAATAATTTTAAGGAAATGTAATTTATGTTTAGTTATTTTTCTTTTGAAAATAAGTTTATAATAAAATTCAGTATAATTTTTTAACTCATTAAAAATACAATATATCACGATTAAAGAGCTTTAAGACAAAATCAATAAATAAACGTGATTGTGTGACATTTTAAATATGCACTTAGTGGTTCTTCGAAATACTTGAACCTTTCACTAACTCTATTTCATATTTTTTTCATCACCTTGAACTGTTATCAATTAAAATAAGTCTCATATAATCATTTGAAAATAATTAAAGAAAGAAAAGTAGTGACTAAAATAGTTTTTAAAGTATTTGTATTTAAACAAATAAATTCTATTTTGTAACCATTGTTATGAGTGATCAAACTTACTGCACCGGTCATGCGTGGCCATGGACCAAAATCAAATGCCTCACGTGCGGCCTTCACAGCAATATCAACATCTTCTTCGGTAGCCTCTGCTATTTCAGCCATCACTTCCTCTGTTCTTGGATCAACTGTCTCAAACGTTTTTCCTTTTTTGTTTTTTCAAAAGTCCAAAATGCACATAAGTTTAACAAGAAAATTTTATTTTTTCAAAATAAAAAAAGGAAAGAATCATTGCCCCTAGTCTATGATTAAGCAAGTTTACCAGCAAAAAGGGTATCACATTATTTTTTAAAATAAAAATTATTGTTTTTAAATGCTTAAACTCATTTCTTAAAATTAACAAAACTCTATCATTAACAAATATACTTTTAATAATAAAAAAGGGTAAATTGGGGTTCTAAAATATAGTTTTGATATTTGATCTCTATATAATATTTTGAAACTCCGAAATAAAATCAAATAGATTAACAAATATGTAGTTATGTGATATTTTTTAATTTGTTTTCACTTACAAAAGAACAATTGTAAATTTGTTAGAAATAAAATAAAGAATAGAGTAACAATTTAACATGCATTAACAATTTGTACATGAATGCATGTCAAGAGGATGGTGTATCATTATTTCTCTTATCAAACCAACCCGTCCTCTCTATTAAATAAAGTTTCCACATTGAATGTGATTATGAAATAAAGCCTCCTCTTCTGGAATAAAGGTACATTTCTAAGTGAGGCATCAGGTACGTGTATCTAATCCATATATGGTTCTATGGAAATATTTTACCTCATTTTTCTATCAATCTATTTATCAAAAAATATATATGTATTAAATGAGAAAGTTCTTTGTTATACAAAAAATGATAATAAACAAAATGATGAAACATTTACTAGTGCAATAGAATAAAGGTAAATGATGAGAAAACTAATCAGAACCTGAAACAGAATCTACGAATTCTCCATTGATGAAAAGCTTAGTAAACTTGAGTGTTGGAATCTTGACAAAAGGGTCTATGTGGCTGTTGCCATTGTTGAGATTTTCCATCCTTATCTTCTTCTATGATTGTTGTGATAAGCACCAAATAAGTTTATGGAGAAAGGAGGGAGTGTGGTTGGGTATGTAGAGGGGGCACAACAGTTATTTATATGAAGCACTAAACATATGCATATCTCACTTAGGTGTTTGCATAATGTTTGCTGCAATTAGGGTGGTAGAGTGGTTGTTAGCTGCGGAAGATCATGTGGTAGGTGACTGAAATAGGTGGAAAGATATCAATCTCAAAACAGTTTAATTTGTTAGTAATTGGCACCTTCTAATACAAAGAACTCACCTTTTCTCCTTTGCATTTCCCACTTTGAATGCCACTTCAGGGCCAGAATTTGTGGGCAATGCAAAGAATGGTGTTAAACAGAATCAAGAGTGGATGGAAATAATGGACCTCAGTAACTGTGTGTCCATTCTTTTATACTAAATTACCAATTATTTTTTACTGTTGCACATACAGTTTTTAATAAATTTATTATTTATTAAATAGTCTTATACACATTGGTGGTGTTTGGAAACATAAACTTGTAATTTATTTAAGAGTTCATAGTTTGTTTTTTTTTTTTTTTAAATAAGCTAATAGAAACATTTGTCAACTTCAAAATATAAGCCCTCTAAAGAAACCTCATAATAAAAAGAATATTTTAATTTTAAAAAGCTTATTATTAAAGTAGCATTCAATTTATAACTATTAATAATTTGATCTAGTTTATACTTTTATCCATTTAAATAAATTATACATAAATATAAATCATGAATCTCTCTCTCTCTTCATTCTGGTCTTTTAATATATTTTAACTAATTTTGTTAAATAGCTCTAATTTATTTAACTATTTGTAAAATTATAAAATTTCAGCTATAAGTTATAAGTTTTCACTTAACTTTTCATCTATAAGCTTTCAATTACTTTTACCAAGCAAAGTCATTATCTTATTATTTTATTGTAATAATATTAATTACATCATCTATAAAGCCTAATATTAAAGGAATATAAAGAATTTCTTATTATTTATTATTTTAAAGAAATTAAAGTAAATATTTACCATTGAAATATATTAAAAGTTTCTTATTCTTAAAATAAAGAGTCACAATTTTTATATGAAAATAAATTCAAAATATTAGAATAAAAACTATTTAAAATTCATTTCATATTAAATATTTTCTAGATCTAGTTGTATAAATTATGTCCATTTTTAAGATCTACGGATTTATTTATTTTTTCTTACTTAAGGAATTTTTTTATATTGTTTCCCCTCCATTTTATAGTATCATTTAATAATTATATTATTGTCTTGACTTTTTTAGTAAAATAATAAAGTTGAAAAACTAATTATAAAAATAAATAAATTAAATATTTCCCCTAAAGTCATGGCCAATAAAAATAGATGTGACATGTCAAAGTAAAACACGTGTCATATTCTAGTGGATTATTTTTATTTTATTGAATATATAAATTAGAGATTGACAAGATAAAAAATAGACTTATTCTTATGTGTGTTGCTTTTAATGTTGAAGTTTTAATTTAAAATTTTATTTTTAATTTTTCCTTTATTTTGACCAAAATTAAATATTTACTTTTTATATTAATTTTAATTTTTCTTTCATATTAATCAAAATTAAAATTTAAAATTTATTTCTTAAAATTTTAAACTCTAGTCAAATGAGAGGAAATAAAAACTTTAATCTCAAATTCAAATTTCAATCCATGAAAAAAAAAAATTAAAAGTTGAGCTCCAATTAAAATAAACTTTTATAAGAGAAAATATATTTTTTAAATTTAAATTTCAACAATCAGAAATAACAGTTCAAACTGTGTTACGTGTTAATTTATAATACGTAAATAACAAAAAAACACATTATAGAACATTTTATGCTAGTGAGTCAATAGCAATGTGAATGATGTCACTTTTTAGCATGTGGTGTTTGTTTTTAAATTTAAAATTTTGGAATAATATAATTTAGATAAATAGTTTAAAATAGCATATTTCTAATAAAAGAAAGTCTATTGGCTTGTCCATTATGTTTTATCGTTTATTATATTTTAATAATTTATTTTTATTTCTTATTTGATTAAGAGATCTTATTTAATTGTGATCCAACAATGGACCACATAATTTACCATAAAAGATACTTTTTATTGTCATTAAAAAAGAGAAATATATTATACAAATGTTAAGATGTCATTTTTAACTAGTTTTAAATTACATAAAGTTTCTTTCACTAACCTAATAAATTAATAATTATACCAACCATTTAGCCGGTGCTATGTTTTCAATAGCTGATGATGCTACCTAACGAGATTAATTATTCTTTTTTAAAAACAAATTAAATGACTAATCAATATATAATCACAACAACCAGTGAACTTTTACTCTACCATCCTCATATCCTTTTAAGATTTTGAATCATTATTGATGAGATGTTAGGTGTAATAAAAGTTATATCCTTCACCTTGTAACCTATTTTTTAAGGATAGTTAATTTTCTTTAAATTCTGAATAAAAGTTGAAATATGTAGCTAAGATAGGTTTTGTGTATAAGAAGAACCAATCCTGTGATTTTCTCATTTCAAGTACTCAACTTACTGAAATTTTTATAATTTAATCTTCATATTTATTTTCCATTTTCCATGTAATCTTATGTTAGCCTCTTGTTAATTGGGTTCATTAGGTGTTATGCTTCATTTCCTTTCTAGTCTTTGCTAAATATCAACTTTTTCCTATTTGATCTTTTTAAATATTACAAATTTCTTATTTCATTTTTCATTTTTTTTTAGCGACATAGGCATTTAATGAATAAAACAAATGAAATCCTAATAAAACAACTACCATAAGAGAAAAAAAAATTGAAGACTCGAGCATTTTGGGTTTATAGGTAAAGCCTTGAGGAATTCTCCAGAACACCCAACATCGCAGAGTGGGCCACCCATTCTCTTGAGCTTTGTGGACTGTGTGGGCTATTATTGGGCCTGCACCATGCCCAGTGCAGAGTCCTTGTTCTGAATTCTTAATACACTCCACCAAAAAAATAAAAATATAAAAAATTCTTAATTCAGAATGCATTCTGCAAACACGCAGTGGTGCACATGCTGTGCTTCTAAATAGAATGGATTTATCTGTGCTCCATTATTGGTTTTTACTTCAGGACTCTCTTTATTTTTTTTATATATGTTGTCCTTATTATCATGTTGACTAATTATTATCTTAAATATTAAAAAATGCGTAAAAATCTTTTATATTATCTAATATTATGACGTCAGCATGCACTTATTAAGGTACGAGTGACATTCTTGGTCAATTAGTGTGTAGCAGTAGTTAATAATGCTATTAACACCCGTTAACTTGTTTCACCTTAGAATTAGAACAGAAACACCCTGTTGGCGGCTCTACGTGTTTCATGGTTTGCAGGTGACATGGCTTGCGTTCTTATTTCATTAATTTAACAAAATTGTTATTTGTTTACATCCAATTACCCTCCAAAACATGTGTTTAATGTTACTTTGAGCTCTGAAGCTTCGACAAAGCTATATAATTGAGATACCTAATAATTGTGGAACGTTAAACAAAAGAACAAGATTTTAAACGTAATATTATTATTGACACTGTTAATGTTGTTCTTGAATAATAGGTAGCATTTTACTTTAATAATTTACATTAAAAGTGATCACTAATTCACTTTGAATGTGATTCTTTTATTGGATACTGGTAGAAGGCCTTCTGTTTTTGCCAAATGAAATAATAGGAAACATGTCAATGCATTTAATGCATGATAAGATTGCGTAACGGCACATCTAACTTTGTATTTTGTGGGGTTTTTTTTATTAAAAAGACAAAATTATGAGCCATAATTATATTCAGTAAATAAGATAACATATAGATAAGTATTATTGATTATTGATTTGAAATTTATTATATTTATAAAATATTTAAATTTAAATGAAAGGCATAAATTATTATTTACCTGTTTCTTTTAAAAGAATTAGTTTTACATTTTTTTATAATTCAGTTTCTCCAACTTTTTTTTTGTTTTATCTCTAATATATTTTTAAAATTTAGCACATTTTGATCCTTGGGATAAATGGTGGTATGGTTATGTATGAAATTGTCATACATTATTAGTTTTTTGTGAAGTAAGTGAGAAAAATCAAAATTAAAACTCGAAAAAGTATAAGGAGTAAAATTAAAAATTACAAAAATTTAAATAAAAATTCTCATAAAAATATAAAGATAAAAACATATTTAAACTAATTATTTTTAATGCTCGTTTCCAGCGTTCTCATTTTGTTTCGAGTTTCTTATATATTACACAAATATTATTAAATTAAAATTTTACATAATTATTATGGAATTTAATAAATAAATATATAAATATATTTTAATAGGATAATATTTCTAAAAAAAATATTTATTGCGGGTTTGGGGAGGACATTTTGCATCGCCAATATTTAAAAAATGATATATTGAATTTGAATACATTTATTCGTAATTCACAAGTCAAAATCCAAAACACACGTATTTTGTCTTTTTCTTTGAACGGGGGTTGGGGAGAACGGTAGGAGATACGCAAGGATTCAATAAACCAAACTCGTCCCATTTTTTATTTTTAAATAAATAAAAGATAACTTATTATTTACATTTTTTTATTTCTGAGAAAATATCAAATTTCTTAATATATATAGTGAAAAAAAGAAGAAGAAGTTACTTTTCAACAATTTTTACGTTAAATATTTTTTTACATATTAACTCACTTCTGGGATAAAGTTCATTTCATTCTTTATTAATTATTTGTCATTTTTATCAAAATTTTAAATTATTAATTATAAAAATAAGATTAAAAAAAACTTAAACGCTCGCATATATTTATCATAATATGATAGTAATTTCTTAGTTTATATTTGTTTAATCATTTATGGTATCGTAATTATCTTTAGCTTAAATTTACTCTAAATTTTTAAATTGTTATATAATTAAATGGAGTCCTCACATAAATTTTCTTTCTCAT